TAGACAAACAACTACTACCTGTTGGTAAAGACAATAGAACCACGGCGTTGGATCTTCAGGCAGAACCAATGTACCATTTAGATAAACATTTGAAAAAAGAGGTTTTTGTTTATCCAATTCATACACATACAAATGCATGTATGAGGTCACGTCTTGGTTCGGAATTCCACCACAGACATACATAAACAATATCAACAACGTATTTGATGATGGTATTTACATGTGTTGTGAATAATCAGTTCAATGACTCATACGAACATTTTTTAGCACATTGAAAGGTATCGAACATAGAACAGCAAACTTCCCTACCGTGCTTAGTAAGTTCTTTTTAAAATTTTTAGTATAAAGCATACCATGCTCGAAATCAATATAAACATTTTTTACTGGAGAAAGACTTTTATTAATCATCTTTTTGTTGATGATAACTTCCTGAAGATTGTTAAATCACTGCACTATGTATATCATTTGCGCCGGTACTTGATATATGAAGCATACTCAGCGAAATAATAAAAATGAAATTATTCCTGTACGTTGTTATCACATCATATTCATATTATCCAACAGTTCAATTATTAAACGGTAACGCCAAATATTTACATACTTATACTCACCTATGGAAACTGACAAAACTTTGTTAAGTACATGCTTGCAGTATACAATGGATACAGAGGAGGTGATACCTGAGTATAGTATGCGTGTCTCTTTAACATATCTCATTGTTTAAAAGTCAAACAACACAGACAAAGCTATTGTCTTCCCTTAAATCCCTCATAATAATTCTCTCTTTGTTTCAAAACATAGCATTAAAAAACATCTGTTATATTCACTGTGGAACGACAAATAGAATGGAATTGTGTTTCGGTGTTGTGGATATAAGCAAAACAGGTGTGATCTATATGCTACAGCGGGGCTGTTGGAATCCTAAAATCACATGCCTCGCCATTCAAGGCAGATGGAGTATAATTCAGGACCGAGCACAAAACTTGTGATTTTGAAGCAAGAGCTTTAGATGTGTTTAGCGTCGTTTCAGGAAAAGAAATGGATTATGAAGTATGAGATATCTTAAGACTGATACTCTTCATTCTATTGATAAAGTCTAGACAAAAAAACAGTTCGTTCCGACATTGCTTTGATAGTCCAAATGTTTCAGGGAAGGTTAGGAGCTGTTCAGAGGCTAGAGGATCGACATCGCAAATATTACTGCGTGATGAACGATGTGGCAAAATACAAACAAGAAAATGCCGTAGGTTATATCAGGAAGGAGAAACAGGACTTTGGTATACAGAGAGAAAAATCAATGGCTAAAGTAAGAAAAAAAATTGCCAAAAGAGTTGCTTTGCAAAAATGTCTTCAGGAAAATCGTGTTGATAGTTCAACGCTTCGGATTCGGCCAATATATGGACATTACAATGGCCGATCGTTACAGTCGTTTAGTAAGGAAATCGACACATTTTTAGCCGAGAGACACCCAAAGATCAGAAAGAAGAAAATGTGTGAATCATTGTTGGAGGAGGGACAGGACAAGGGCAAGATTCTGGGTTCGGACACAATGAAAGATAAAGTTAAAGATTACATGACAGAGAGCTGGGGTGTCAAATACGCTGAAGCGAAAGAAAAGAAGATAGATTATTTTGACGAGGAATTAGTTGAACAACGACGTAAACGAGAACGTGCGGCAAGGAATTTACCGCCAATATTCAGTTTGTACAAAATATCATTAAAACCACTGGAACATTGTAGACGCGATTCGTACGTGCATGGGTCGTTACACCGTGATCACAATATGACTGAACAGCACCAAAGAAATCCACAAATTTCGCAATCGGAACCAGACTTCAGGAAACTAACGCGAAGAGAGAGACTTGAACAGCTGGCACAGAAAATTGCCTGCACGAAGCCCGCTTGCGCCGGTTACCAAGGGGATAGAACGAATCGATCAAACTATGGATTAGTATCATTGCCAACAATCAATCAAAATTCGTTTCTGGTAGCCCAAGTTGCCCCATAGAACAAAGACTTCTGATGTCTTGAAAGCAGCATGTGCGACAGGTGATGGAAACAAGAACCTGGTGAATATGGTGAATGATTCACATTAATTATGATTCCAAAGTGCTGTTCTCTTATGGTATAGAGATGTGATAGTGCATTCTGATTTGTTTCAGTTTATGGGCCAATGGGATTACAGGTGATAAAGAGGACCATCGGCCCGATCACACATCACATTATATATAACATTTGATACTTATTATTTGGTAATGGTTCTTATTGTCGACTGTCTTTTAATGTTAACCTTGATGGAAACATTGGACTACTTTTTCGTACTTGTATAAACTACAGTAGTTTAAATCAAATGGCGATATCACTGTTAATGAATCATTATTTTATTAAGAATTAAACTAATATAATTAACGATAAGATAGGTGTTAAATCTATCATCTAAAGCATTAGACGCTAATTGAAGGTCATAGCATATCGTTCAGTTTATCAAAAATGAAGATAACATCGGGATTTACAATTATCTTACAAACATGTTAATTGGTCGATCAATCTGTTCTGATATTAAATGTTTAAACCGTTTACATGATATAATTATGAAAAGAAAAATATGTCATTGAACTGATAATAGTATTATCAAAGACGCTTAATTATATACCAGTTCATAAAAGTAATATTCTGAAATAAGTGTAAAACAATGAAAAATAAATTATATTCCTAATATTGTTTCAACTACAAAGATTTCAGGCGTTATAACGATTGGTCAAATTCCTTTATTAAGGAAAAATCCGATGTATGTGTATTTCAAACGGGAAGTGCACTTGTGTGCCCTAATCAAATGGTTTTCAAGGGGTCAAGCCGATTTGATGGAGGGACATGTAAGTTCAGTTCATTCTTTCGGACTGACTTTGGTACACTTAACATAGAGTGTGTTTGGTTAAGTTACACACTTAACTTCATTCAAAACAACTGGTGTTATTTTTTTTATATCTGTTGTATTTTAAAAGTTTATTGTTTATTATTTACAAACCGAAAGAACCATTATATATGAATTTAGTAACAGATACATTACACATCGTATACCGAATCATGAACTGTAATTCATCAAATATAGAACAGCTGTTTTGTCCTTTCGGGAATCTTTACAGATTATAGGCAGCATAAAAGTGGAAATCTATAATGGTTTGGTTTTCTTTTAATCACTTCACTTAGTACTTAAATCCTGTTTGAAATAACCATTGTATCTTATCTAAATTCTAATTAAAATTTGGTATTCACTTGACTTGTGTGTCATTTGTAGAATCATCAATAAGTTGTCTTCCCATGCCATCATACAAGAATGATGTTTTTCAGAACATCGTCTTTGACTGGCTTAACAAGTGTTGTAGTAATTTCTCAAAGAAAGGGTTCGTAAGAAGTAAAATACCGTATCGACGTTATTTAAATCATAACCATAATATTGTATGATTTTACATATTATGGAGCCATGCCATGAACACTAAGAATGCATTGTAATTAAATCACTTATACGTGACTTGAGAGAGCATTCCTAATATATATTTGAGAAAGAAAATGGTATGTTCATCTCGTATGATAACTTCAAACGGATTTTAAATTATATTTAATGTCCTCTAGTGATGTCATTTCACTGACATGTCACGCGTACAGTATCACATGATCTTTATAATATCCATTGTAAGTAAAAGCTAGACATCGTCCCTAACTCGAAATATCTGACCGGTCTGTCCATAGTGGTCAGTAATTACTGTGCTTTCGTATTTATTACTCAGGATTTAGTCGCCTGAATCTGGCGAACTGGAAAATAGTTATTTTATGTATATCGATGGGCTGCTGAATTCTTTTCACAATCACTACATGACCTTTGTTACACCATCGTGTTAAGCGAGCTGTTTAATTCCTCTTGTTAATGAATAATCCAATTAGATGTAGTTGATAATGTATAATGCTTATTCCATATGATGGTGGATAGAAAAACAACCCAGTCTGTTTTTGAGTATTCATACATTAAATAATAATGTTTTTATTTCTGGAATATATCATCCAAATTGTTTCATCCAAAAATGCACTATTTGAATCTTACACTCTCCTGCCGTCGACCTTGATGATTTTTTTTTTTTTTTATATGAATTTTCCATATCAAATTGCCAATTGTGTATATAGTTGATAAAGTCTCCTAAATGTATTATATTTTCTTTTGTCCTAATTTTGTTGTAAGCATTAATATTCCTATCAGGACGCTGATACCAAGAATTCTGCATTAACATCGTCAATTAGAACAGAATGCATACCCACACCTGACAAGCTGTACAACCAGTGTTGTCACCCAATAAAAGAGCATCATATTAACTTAATAACCGCCATTCATACGGACTAGCAATAAGAAAGTTAATTTGATATATGCTTATTGAGAAGGTTGAGCAATTATGGAGGACACAACATCAATAAAGTGACAAGATATTGGAAAACATATCCGTTACATTGAAAGTTTGTGGTGTTACCTCAGTGCAAATGTCTTGTATTCGACCAATGCGTGTGCATTATTAAAAAAATGTCAGAAGTAATTATTGTATGTGGTACTAAATATTCGTTTGACCTTTTGGAGACCACTTCTTCGAAAATATGCTTTGATGCATTTCATCAATTCACGAATAACAGCATTCTCGAGCAAGGTAATAAATATGGTTTTGTTAATCACAGAATGCAATGCAATTTGATGAAATTAAAATATATCCATTACATGTGTACATATACTGCTTTCATAACTTACAGCACATTTGAATAAATTTGATTTTAATTTAACCTCATGGGTGAGAATATCTTGAAATAGATAGAAGTAAACATTTTACATTATTGTTGAAGCTTCATTTAGTGACAAAAGTGACACATAGGTTCTCACGCATCATAATGAAGGTGTGTGTAGCTTTATAAACCGGGAGCGATCCATCCTTGACAGTCAGAAGCTGAGAGAACTCCAACGTTCCATGATGAGGTCATTGGCTACAGTATCATTCTTTGGTATGCTGGTGCTTGCTTTGTGTGAAAGCGAACAGACTAATCTCCAGGGAGCTGGGCCAATACCACAAGATTCTTCAGAAATGTAAGCCTTTATATTAAAAAAATACTGTTTCGGCGGTTTAAAAACGTTCAAGATTCATCCTTTTTTATGTTTATAATATATTTATTAATGCTTTTTCATTTATGTATTCATCTATCTATCAACTTTACTTGCTTACCATGAATATTTCAAGTCTGCTCATATTAATCGAATTAATTAACGCACAGAGATTTGAGGCATATAGAGCGCTTTAATTGCTTTCTAGAAAAGGTTTGCTTTCGAGGTTTGAGGGTATACTCAAACGTTGAAAACAGGAAAGTTACGTTATAAAATAATACCGAAAATATCGATGCTGCTTTCGGAATTGTGTGATACTTACAGTGGGATGTAATTACATATTCAATCCCTTCTACCTGTATAATACTTGTCTGCCATTGCAATTTATGCTTGTTAATTAGATACAGCCCCTCGCGCACTTTGGCAGTTACATGGTTACTGTTTAAAGAGAAAGTTTCAACGAAAATCAAACAAATAAAATGCGTTTGTTAACAACTGATGATATTATACTTTAAAGTATATTCAAAGAAAATATAACGTAAATATATTTCAATGCGTTCATCCAAAGTTAACCGTTGACTGAGAGATCCGGCTATCAATTTTGAACATTGCTTCAAACATACGATACAAAAGATTACTTTCGACGCAAACTTTGCTAGAGACGGATGTAGAGTCTGTCTTTGCTGTGTTGTTGTTAATCGAATGCACCAAGAGAAAAATTTAAATGGTGAAAAAATTGTGTAAATTAGAGAACAATGTTCATAGTGATATCATTGAAAAATGTGTGTGAAGGATAGGGACGTGTCTTAATTTACTTTAGAAAAAGCTTGTGTTCTGAATGATTGATACTCGGAATAATATGCCGTAATCTTAACGTAGAGTATATATTTTTGCTTGTTCGTTCTGTCTTGTTATCATATTTCGAAAGGTTCCAGACAATGAGGCAAACGGATCTTTTCATGGTGTTATGTATCACTAAATTGTAAGCATAAACAAATAGAAAACATGTATATCATACAAATTTGAATTGAAATAGGATTTTTTTTTATCATCCAGAATCCCTCCTGGACTTGATGACCCAATCACAGAATCCGATAATGACGATGATAAACGATCAAAGGCCTTGGGGCTTACAGCCAGACGACAAGTCAAAAATATCCAAGATGAACAAAGGTAATGAGAAAACTATAAATAATCCCAAGCGGTGTGATTTATCCATAAAAGAACTGTTTCACTTCTGATGAAGGTGTGGTATGCATTCTGTAGACCTATTCTCAGATAGTCCACATATCTCTACAATGTTTTAAGGTATCGCCACTCAGGACTTATTGCATCCTTTCATAATAGTAAGCATGTTACACTTCTTTTAAATATAACAAGAAGGGCTTTTGTTTTTTCTTGCAAGAAGTCGTCAAATGATGAACAAATGATGAACTCGTAACACATGGTTTCAAAATACACAGGTTGATGGAAATTATGGGGATAACTTTAAAGTCGTCATGGTGATCTCATTGAAACATGTTCTATTTCTTTGTGCGATATGAAGCTGGCCGTGTCTGATGATCGTTAGTTTGCCTGTTGGGTCCATTGGGATCTCTAAATTAAAATGTCTTCATTGTCATCAGTGTAAAAATCGAACGAAGGAGAAAATACTCTGTCATTTTGTTGTGGTTTTAGGAAAATGATAAAAGCGTGTATAAATTTTATCGTAATACAACGCAAAAGTATGTCTATATATATTCAAATCAAGCTCCCTGTCAATTTTAAAGACAATCCAAGGTCTCATGAAGCAGTTAACGTGACGCTACCCAAAATGGAACGCTACCAATAATGGAACACCTCAAATATACGATGCAGAATCTTTGTTTGCAGTGCAAGTGATTATTAACAATTCTTAGCAAGAAATAAAGTATTTATTACTTATTATGTCATTTCTAACTGGACCATATCTTATATGTTGCTTATCATCTCTATTTGAAATTTTAGAAATAAAAATGATACCATGCGACACCACAAATATTGTATCTTGTTTTAAAACGATGAAAAATATTACCGAGATTAACATTTTACAGATAGGAGATTGCAATTAATAAGAAAGTGAGTGAACTTTTTTTATAAAATAAAGAAAAATATTCCACGGTATGTCAGTTACTTCTATAAACAAACATAATGTAAGACTTGTTATATTTCGGGTAGCCTTACCAGTATAAAAGCGTTGCTGAACCTGGCATGCCTTGCTGCGTTCTATTAATAGACACGTGCGCTACTAACATGTAACCCAAGCATGAAACTGAAGGTATGTGTTAATGAAATACAAAGGTAGAAAATTTGCACAACTTTCTTCAAAAAGTGTTCCAATTTGTGTAGCATCACTAAACGATATACACAGAATTGCAGGATTTTGATTAAAGATAACTTGTCCAAAAATAATCAGTTGTTTCGATTCTATCGATATTTAAAGTTGATATTTTATATGTAGTCAAATCAAGAAACAAAAACACGAAACTTTATTCATCTGTTTATTTATTTACTTTTAGGTCGGAAGTTGATGGATTGGACAACAAAAGATCCAATACAGTCAACGATAAACGATCTCAAGATTTGGAGTTAAGAATCAGAGGACTTGTTAAAAATATTCTTGATCAACAAAGGTATGAGTATATTGTGTGATATTTTCTTACACATATTTCCTGTTTATTCGACACAATAATGTCTAGTTTTGGTGGGCAAAAATATGACAACAGTAATTAACAGAGGGCGAAAGATCAGTATAGTTGAAAAAATCATGAGTTTTAGCTCTAGTCAAAATTATTTTCGTGATTGGGAATAGTCGGAAGAGTTTGAACAGTTCGATAGAAATACATAATCATTTATATCATGAAAGTATAAAATAAGTCATCAAAGCTCATACCTCTATATATCAAATAAAATCAGCAAATACACCCCCGGAAAGTAAGAAATAATCATTGAAAGTTACGTAAAAAAACAGGAGTGAAAATGATCTATCAAAGAGGGAATATGAGGATGAGGAGGAGGAGGAAAAAATCACACCGGAGAAAAGAGGCAACCGACGTGAGAAACAAAGACGCGAAAAACAGCAACGCAAGAAACAACGGAAACAAGAAGGACCCGCACAAAACTCCCTAGAACACTTCTCAGTAAAGAGTTTGGAAGAAGCCAAGGATCTGGACATAAAGGGCGAAGAGAACCCGACACAAGTTACTCAACAGCAGATCAGAGACACCGTCGATGTCCACCAGATGTTCCGGATGAAGGAGGAAGGGTCAGATATCTGGAAAATAGTATGTGATTTACTGTTGTTTCCAGACGATTTTCCAATTCATTTCTTCACTTTTCCTTTGTTTGCTTGTTCTTTGCTTATTTGTATAACAAACTCGCAGTACCATATGCACACAGTGCCTTGTAACCTTGTAATAGAATTATCTATTTGTTCAACCAATTCAAAAATACATATCAATGAAGAAAAAGATATAGTTCTATGAACGGAAAATATCTTATTTCGTTTTCACGGGATTTTATGAGAATGAGAGATTAAGGATGGCAAATAAGTGTATTTCATCAGTTTAAGGAAGCGTATTCTATGGCAAGAAGGACCTCACCCAAAGATCCCCTTAATGCACTACATGCATATTCAAATCTTCCACTTACTTGCATCAGATGCTTTTAATTCAAAATTCAAAGTCTTTTACTACAAACATGGCCTACAAGCATGAGCATCGTCTTCTCTTATGATACTTTAACTTCTAGTACTACTTTATTCACATCTTTATATCCTTTCATTGTTATTCTTTATAAGTTGATGAGATTCTTTCTAGATATGGAACCCGCTCATTTTTTAGCATTTTTGAGCAGTCTCTCTCGGAAATGCGTTGCAATTTGTATTTTCATTTATTAAGAAATAGATAAGATTTCTGTTAATATCAAAGTGGTGAAGTAATTCGAGTGTAAGAGAGGAAGTAAATACAATATCTCCCATTAATTCTTTCCGCAGTAAATATGACCTATCCAGATGTATTGATAAAACCAGTATTCCTGAAATGAAATATAATTATTTGGTTCTCTTACTGAAAACGTCCGCGACCATGGATATATCTATTCCTGTGTAAGAGTTTGGCTGATCAGGCAAGCCGAGCGCTGAACAGCAAACTTTTTACACACGGTTGAGATGTCCCTGTCAACGGAACAGAGTCAGGTATGATTATATTAAAAAAACATATAAAGAGGCTCTATCTATCAAACATATTTTCTGTCGTATTTTATAGTACACGTATGTCGCTGATGATCATCAGGTATCAGCGTGTTTGTAACAGATATTGTTTATGTTTATAGAACTGGGATGATTCACTTGCTCGTCTTGCACAGGCCTTGGCGAACAAATGTGTCTTCAAGCACACCAATCTATACTTGTAAGTAACTGTTACCACTTCTATGACTTTTTCACAGTTTTATATCTACTTGATAAAAAACATATGATACACAATACAGTCTGGGTAAAAAAGAGATATGACCGATCGAACCACTCGCACCAAATGATTATTTCTTTGCCAATATGTTTCGTTCCAACATTGGCATATTTGGTGTATGTGCAATTTTAAGCTTGTTTGTTCTATTTTGAACTTCAGAATATAATGTAAGTCTTTTATGAACTGCAACAGATATATCTAAATGAAAACGGAGAATGTTCGTCATCAGAATTCATGTACAAAATACTTCCATCATATCATGTATGTATTTTCTTAATGGTAATAAATCAGTAATATCCGGATCGAATCTAAATTTATATGTTTTTAGTGGCAATGGCACTAGGGTTGGACAGAACCTCGCCATAGTAAAGGGAAGTAACCATTCCATAGAGAAGGTCGTACAGCTGTTCTATAATGAAAAGAGTTTATATGATATAGATGGACACTCCACAGTAGACTACAGCTTGGTGGGACATTACTTACAGGTAAGATTTTTTTTCTTCGACTTAGTACATATTTATAGGAACGTTTTGTAAGGCCAATATAACTTTTGGTGGAAAATCTGGTACTTGCCCGAATTAACCCGTATCGCCTTCCAGTTTGTATTATTAGTTTGTTTTGTCCTTCCCGTTTGCATATCTTTTTTTCATTTGGTGTTTCGTTCATCTCTGACGGCTTTGACATACTGGATATAATATAACAGTAACTCTCATTTGTTACAGTTGGTGTACTGGGATACTGTTAAGGTGGGATGTGGTGTCACGTTTTGTGACCAGCTTTTCCTGCCTGACACTGGAGACACGTGGTACAACACGTGGTACTGGGCTTGTGATTACTGGCCGTCGTAAGTTAGGAGTTCGAATTTGATGCATCACTTTCACCAAATTACACTTACACCCTCCCTCCGCTACTTCTGTTTGAAACACCATACTCCCACTTCCACATTACACATTCGTGTATGATATATAACGGTAGCATTATTCACCAAACAAAAGTATTCGAGATTAAAGCAAGGACGCTATTTATCTTCGAAAGAACAATATGCGTATAGCTAGGATTTATACGTTTACTAGTAATACACGTGATATTTAACCCGGATTACTTTCAAAATTAATTATACAACGTTTCATCACTGAAAACTGTTTGAAACACAGACGTGTAACAGGTGTAACATTTTGAGATGTTCTAACACACACACACTCGCATATGGACGACCTCATGGAGGCAAATACAAAAGAAAATCAGCAGAGGAGATTATTTTGAGTATGGTTGTTCTCGAAATCTTAAAGCAGTATATTTGCGAAGTAAGTTTCTACACTCACAAGAGAATTCAACCCAATTACAATTGAAAGCAAGTACCATTATAGTGATATTTCATATCATTTAAACAAGCAGCGCCATGAGTCATTCTTTTGACTGTAAAACAACAATGCTAGAAATAAGATTAAACATACCGGAGTTGCCCTCCTACAAATTCAGAAGCAATCACTACGTAGTATACACAAAATCGATAAAATATTATATCAGCAAATAGCAGGCTACAAAAACGTTATCTTACAAGACAACACGTATGTATCAAACCATAGTTTGAACAATGATGTATCCTAATCTATCAATTGCTCCTTTTTCAATTCAGTCTTCATGCCAATATCCCCCCGTACCATGTAGGAAACCCGTGCTCGGAATGTGTCGTTCCATCTGGCAAGGGAATTGGTTGGATGTGTGTGGATAACACCTGTGGTAGGTCATCATTGTAACAACAAAGGCTTACTGCAGATAAAACAACGATAGTTATGAAACTATTTCTTAAATGCTGCCGAAATGTATATGGAATGAATATGGTTTTCCAACGAAGTCCCAACGTTTGGGTCCTCTGAATTACGATAACAGAAAAACAAACATGTGTGCTATGAAACTATTCTTGGTAAACAAATTATGTATTCACCTGTTTTATACGAAATTACATTAGAGAAAAAATGTGTGTGTATATATATATATATCCCAGCAGCTGAGTGTCAAATTGTTTATTAAAAGACGTAATCGGTCACATGGTCCAGGCTATTTACAGTTCGCTACTTCTATATAAAGTATGCCTTTATTTTGCGATTGCCCAACCTTGTCATTGATGTAGATCACATAGATATCGTAAGGATTATAGAATACATAGGTAAGTCTTACGAACTGAAAACACCTGTGATCAACTGAATTTGTAGCCGATGCACTAGGCTATTCCACATGGGCACAATAGTCAAGGGATGCCTGAATAAAATATTGTTTAGTGGCCACAGTCATTAACATAAACAATTGTTATTTTGATAAAAATACTTATTTAATATAATTGCTCATTTTGATCATTATTGTTTGGAAAAAATTACAATTTATGAAATTTCGGGAAGAATTGGTCAAACAATGCGAAGACAAAGACTAACTCTTTGTCAGAGAAATATCCACTGTTATAACTTAAAATTGCAAAAACAAGCATTCCTGATAAAGTAGGCGGGGAGGTAGTGCATGTAACGTTCTAATAGAGGAAATCGGTGATAAATAATGCCGAACAATATAGACTTCGGCTTCGGTTATGAGCAATACCCAATAAGGAATGAATATCATTATCTAAAAGCTTCTCACTACAATCCTTTTCCATGTTATACCGTCAATCCGGACATTTTAAAATTTTTGTTCTCGATTTTTTTTCAGAGGAATGTAACATTGGCGATCCTGGCTGCAGTAAGTAACACAAACGGACAACCTTAAATACATTTCCTGAATAATTCGATTGTGCTCTTGTTGTGTGAAAAAGAAAATGAAAAACAATACTATGGCATGCATGTATATTGATTATGTTAAATATATTGCCTTTTTTTCCACTAATTTTGAATACATACAAAAATATATCTGAATTACCTTTATCCTCGGCGTGCTGTAGAACTCCGGTTTCTCTCCCAACAGACGAACCAGAACCATGTACCAAATTTGACCCTGACGTCCAGTCCAAGGCCATGTGTGACAAGGTGAAAAAACACAAGTTCTGTGAGAAAGGATCGAGAGGATACAGGTTTGCCAAGTTATACTGCAGGACAACGTGTCAGTAAGTTCAACCTGTTTTTTATCTACACCGTTTGTAATATGAATTAAGTTCTTTTTTCACTGAAATCACTGGAATTGTACTTAAGATTGAAATTAATACATCTCAATAAGCCTAGCCAATGAACAGAGCTTATATCACACTACTGTCACTTGGTCTTTGTAATTTCATTGATATCAAACTTTAATGTCATCGAGTAAAATCCACTCGGTATCAAATATCAGGTTTTTTCTGTCTTTTACTTTATGTATGAACATGTTATCTCAACTCTTTTGTATTTTTCAGTGTAGCATGGATTGACTTGTTTACAACATTAAACTCTATCAGAAATTATAAACAAAAACAAAAATTACAGATAAATAAGTGTCCTCTCTTTATTTGATTTGAAGATATTTTATCGTTTTAGGTTTTGTCGAGGTATCCCTGAATCGATGGGAGGCGGAAATTGATTTAGTAAAAAAAACTAGCCAGAAAAGACCGGACAATGAACTTTGTGTGCTTAGATTAGAAAACAGCTGAAACCTATCGTCACTGTGTTGATGTAACCGTGAATGATACATCAAACGACCTGCTTGGATCTGTCTTTGCCTCTTTGTAAAACTGACAATTTCACTGCGAACATTTAATTATGGTTTTACATAGCCACTAATCCAGAACGAATTCGTATGTTCTTTTAAATGTTCTCATTACAAAATAAACGTAGCTATGCGACATATGTATGATTTGTTGTTTATATTATTATTTTGTTATTTTGCATCGCACAATTGGTGTTTGTGTATATTGAAATCGACGGAATGGATATTCTGTGATACAATATCGGAAAGCTTACTTGTGTTTTTGTTATTTAGCCTATGGAATGTAACATGAAAATCAATGCTTACTTATATGTAATGAATGAACCTATCTTATACAGCCTGTGTTAACATCAGCATCAGATGAAATGACATCAAAATAATGTGATAAAAAAGTCTTCAGTTCATTTTTATTTCAAATGTGACCGATTGTTTTATCCACATTGTAATAGCGACTGAAGAAATTCGATTTTTTTTCTTATTTATTTTGGTCAACCTCAAATTCTTGATATACGTACTTATGACCGACACTACACGGAAAAGGGGGGGAAACAGCATCCCTTCGGATGCCAAATGAATATCAACATTCTAGTGACGTCATTCCGTAAGGGATTTTTATCAAATTTTATACAAAGGCCAATTACTGCAATTTATCGGATGAGTTCGTGTTTCAGAATCACCGTTCCGTTTATCAAACGTTTATTGTAACATGTATACTTGTACAGTCTGTAACTGAACGGCAATATATTTGTTAGAATGTTGCCTTTTCTCAATATTCAGCGTGTAAGTAATGACCATACAAGGTTTTCTTTCTACTTTACTTGCCTGTGTTTTCAGGCACATTTATCTACGCCGATGTCTTTCTTCTCCATTTTCCAGAGCTCTCTTTTACGTATCATTCTCACATCGTTCAGATCTCCAAATCTTCACTTTTCGTCCTCGCGTCTTGTATTTGATGAAAGACCTTCAACATCTTTCAACTAATCTCTTTAAAAATGGATGACGTGATCACTATGAAATGAAGGGGTTTTTTTCTTTCCTAAATAATTTTTTTTTATTCACACGATTTAGGAAGAGCTTTTTGCTTTAGAATTCCAAACGGTTGCTATGGTTTTCTTGATACATCTGTATTTGACAACCGCGTGATAGTATAGTGTTTTATGCCCATGATTTTATCCATTTCGATACAACAACGTATTTCACTGACTTTTTTTTTATATTATTGTTGAATGTGCGAAGAAAAGATTATAATGTACGTATTTATCCATCGGGATTCCAATGTCTTTTTCAGATACCCTTTTTTCGAGATTATTACATTCTTCACGAAAGCAAGAGATCCCGGAGATATCTTTACACCCATCACCGATTGGTCGTTATTTGTTCTATAAAAATTGGACCTTTCCACTTCCTTTCTCATCTTAATAATATGCATGTAAAAAAAATCTGTTACAAAATACCGATAACAATCTTTATCTGCCGAATCCAAGATGGTCGCCTAATTTGTTTTTCTAATCATTCCCAAAATCAAAGGAACACAGCTATGGACCAAGAGGAATCTACACATATGAAAATTGGAAAAAGATCCATCCATTTCTTCTCAAGAAAAGCCGATAACAAACTTTCATTATCAAAATCCCAGATGACCGCCTATCAGTCTTTTTATTTCTAAACAGTCCCAAAGCTAGATACCAAGTGGAGCCTACAAATGAAATCTAAGAACAATCCGTCTAACACTTCTCAAGAAACAGCGAGAACAAACTTTCATCGTCGAAATCCAAGATTCTGATCAGTTCCAAAATCAAGAGTTCAACAAGGGATCAAAAGCAGCCTAAATATGAAATTTGAGAACAATCCAATCAGTACTTCTCCAAAGATAACAAATGACGTCTCTCAATACCGAGATGGCACAACAAGGGACCAAGAGGTCCCTTTATGTGGATTTAAAAAAAGATCCAACTCCTTTTATAGAAATAGCCAAAACAAACCATTACTGTGAAAATTCAAGATGACCGCCGTCGGCCATCTGGTGATTTTCATAACGGTCCAAAGATAATGTACAACAAAGGACCAAGGGTCCCAACTTATGAGATTTGGCTTTTTCAGAAAGAAATAGCGATAAGGGGTCCTTATATGTGGATTTAAAATAAAAGATTAAACTACTTTTACGCAGAGAATTACTGTCGATATCCCTGGCCATCCGTCGGCCATGTGGTTTTTTGGTTGTTTTTCCCCTTGAATCAGTCCGAAAATGGAACAATACACAACTAGTGAACCTTCATACATTGGTGTATCACAAGAAACAGCGGTAACAAGCTGACAGACAACGGACCAATTACGCAAGACGATTTGAAAAGCATTGATGACTACGAACAGGAATATCCACAAGTATTTGACGTTGTTCTAAAATGGTAAGACACAGAAAATTACAGAATTTATTCAATAATGGGACTAATGCACCTCCCTATCCGGATTTTTGACATTTCTATCATTGTTATGAGCTCTCATATTACTGTATTTAACTCTAATTTTGTATCCAAAAATGTTATTCATAAGTGTCTTTTTACAGTCATCGCATTTCATGTAAATATAATTGTCCTCGTTTTAGTAAGTGACTATTTCATTTATCTAATCATATCAGGGACAAACATATACTATCCTCGTCCGTGATCACCGTCTTTCTCGCTTTGGACAGCTCAGCTGGGCCTTTGCTATGAGCTCTCTAATTTGAAGGTAGAAAAGTACATATTTCCCGCTATTGTAAACATAACCAAACGTTATCGCGACATGAGCATATATCTAGAGCAGTGCAATGAATTACTGTCCTGAGATAGCAGTATTACAGTCGGCTCTGTTGCTGACAAATAAACAGGTATGATGTTTACCTGTACAGCTGATGTAGTTGTACTTTTCACAATTCAAAAACATTTTGAGACCGAATTGTATTTTGTCGATGTGCAGTAACTGTCCTTTCGTCATGAAGTAACTTTCAAACGAAGCAAACATACACTTTTCATCGCTAGCATAAAACACACTTCCAAGTGCCTGTATCTGTTGTTACTGAGAATAAGATTACTTACTGAATAAAGTCATTTCATGATGAGTGAGTGCTCTACACTAAACAATGGAATCTTATAGTCACTTTCAGTCACAACAGTGGCCCTAAAATGTTCTATAGTTTTACAGGTGATTATGTGCGATGGTAGTACAGTCGAGTCTTTTATGGTAGCTTGTGCAAATGAGCTTTTACATATACCGGTGTTATAAGTGAGCAATTTGGTGGATTTACCGTGCTGCATATGTACATATAAACAGTATTAAACTGGAATATAGAGAGCCAACGGGTATGACAACTAGACAGTTAAATTTTTTGTAAAGTACTAAATATTGGTTTCATCTGTGTTTGAGAGCGGTTGCCATTCCAAGTTCCTCTGTCATTTTGGATACGCTGCTGTATCTGCTGTAGTCATTGCACACAAAGCACGTGCACATCGCTGTATCCCTTTAAGCTTCTAGACTGTCTGTATCGTTTTTCTGGTACAGATCCTTTTCAACAGAAGCATAGTCGAATATAGTTTGAACAAGTGAAATGTAGGCCGAATCTTTAAGGGTTGAGAAGATTACTTTCAGTTCCTGGGAATGAATCTAAAGTATCTATTTGAATGAAATTTTGTTGATGTGTGCACGTGTGGTCCACTTTAAACTAGCACTGAATGTAACTCCAAGATAAGGGTTGTCCTGCACCTGTTTGAGAATATGGTTTTCTAGTGTTAAAAGTGATATTGGTGCAGGGAATTTCTACTAGAGACTGATATGAGATAGCACTTCAAGCATTAAATCCCATGCCCCAGCATTTTATCCAGACTTCAATTGGCTTAAGACCACGTTGGAGGCTGAACTGGTCATTATTGCTCTTTATAGGCTTGTGTAACAGACAGTCATCCACAAAAAGATGAATTTTGAGAAGAAAACACAGTTAAGTAAGTCAATGATGTGACAGAGGAAAAGGAGGGGCCCAAGTGTAGTCCCCTGAGGGACACTGGAGTCCACAGTACATGATGATAGGGCTTGTCAGTCAATGAGGTTCCTGCTTTCTCTGTGTCAGGAATGATCTAAAGGTCCCTGAGATTCCATAGTTTTGTAAGGTAGCCATCATTTGTGTGGCACAGCTTCAAGTACCTGGCTAAAGTACCTTATACACATTTTGTGTTCCATTTTGCAGTAACCAGATCTACTGTCTTGTAGACTCAACCCATTCATGTTTTGAATACATACATGTGCCATGCAGTAATCAAAACCTTCAGTAAGAATCGACAAAATAGAATTGTGTACATTAGATAATACCTTGAAACTAGTGAGCAGGAATCCTTTCCATTAAAAATTAAGATATTTTGAACAAATCTCAGTTTGTTAGTTGCTTACAGCTTGAATATTATTTCATTTGTAGATTGGAATCAAAGGAAAAGTGAAGACTTCAAAGACTGATGTTGGACTATGTGTGTCTATTCTGCATGGGGCAATTCAAGAGATCTGTAGTGGTCTGGAAGAGGACAGAGAACAACAAGAAGAGGTAACATCTACCTGTACCAGCTGGGACCGGATACATAACATAATATGAGGGATAGACCTAGCCACTACTTATATTTCTTTGAAGTGTATTGAATTCAAGTCAGCTTGCCATGCTGTGTTTATTCACTATTTTTCTCCTGATGTAGACAACTAGTCTTTTTAAAATGAACAGTAGTGAAAAGCTGAGAAATTTTCCAATTGAACATGCCAACATTTATGATGAATGATTATTTCTTTTAGCTTCTAGTGTTTCAAAAAACAAAACAAAAAACACACATTTTCAATCATGTTATATTTGTTCTCAGCTGAAATAGTATTTGTATCATTTTTGTGATGAAATGATCTGCAGATTCTCTGCTATATTATAGTTGATTTAGAAGTTACATTTGGATAGAAAAAAGAGTGAAATTTAGCTGGTAAATCTTTAAACATTCTCATCTCAGACCTGTACGAAATAATCAGATTTGAACAAAAGTGTGATTTGTGTGTATCAGTTAGATGTGTGAATGTTACACATTGTTATTTAACAGACAGTAAACTTACAACAATACATTGCTGGATTCTGTTATGCATCGTACGTAAATGCCAAAGGAATGTTTCTCTTTTTTGTACAACAGGAAACATGGAGTCGACATTTATACAATATCCTTCTATACAAAGTGATAACAACACACTACAAAGAACTCCACCCAGAAGAAGATAGAGGATTGAGTCCAGGAAAACTGGTCGATAAAATTGAGGCCCTGTGTTCAGTACTACCACCCGTCAACAAGACAGTGTTTATTGAAGTGGTAAAACGTTGTGGTTGGTTTCAGCTGTTCTTTGATGTGAGTAGTAATTCCTATGTTACCTACCCATACACATTGTATTTACCAGTAACAGAACTTCATTGTAAAGAAGTGAAATCCAGACCATTTAGTCAGCAGTCATCAGAAGTTAGTGCAGTAGCCTATTCTTGTTTGTCCCTCGCTTGAAATGCAGTTACTTATGTAGTTGTATCATTACCTTTTGAGAAACTCTAGATTGATCTTTTTTTGATATTATTTAAAAGATTCCTGGCTGTTGTCTGATGAAATAATATGGTGGAAAAGCACCATCATGATTTTTTTAATATTTTTTTGAGAAGTACCTTATTGAACAATCCATAAAATTGGTATGGAGGTTTCTTGATGGCACTTTAGGTATGCTTGTCAAATTTTGATAACAAAAACAAAGTGATGCAACAGACAGCCATCTTGGGCTTGTCATCTGAAAGTAATTGTTGTTGATCAGAAAGTACTTGAGGGATCTTCCTTCCATTTCATGCGAAAGTTCCTGAAGTTAATGAATAATGTTTTCATTTGATCCATGTACTGGTCAATACAACAAATAAGATTTTACACTGTAAGAGTAAAGAAGTGAAAAGAACACATATGTAATTATCTTAGGTCCCATTAAGATGGACTTCAAAATCTCTGGGTTTTTTTTGTTCTATTCTAAGACCATTTGGTTGTTACATAATGTTCTTTTTCAGCTTATCTATTTTTATCAGTGGTAGTACTGGGTTTCTTTTAAATACACCTATATATGGTTTGATACAGTAAAACATTGGACTTGATATGTCTACTTGAAATATTCATAAACTTTTATAAAATGTTTAATTTTTTCTGTGTAGATGGTAATACCATTTGCAGAAACAAAACTCTAACCTTAATCACCATGTACTTTTTAAGGAACTACACAATGAAAGAATTAAATACATTTGTACTATTCTATACAATGTTCTACCATTGGATTTTTTCAGAGCTTGATTTCTATCCAGGAACAAGTTGCCAGGTCTCTGCTATATGACACTGTCAGCCATATTTGTGAGGACCAAATTGATGGTGATGACCTACTGTGGGGAAAACTGTTTGTTGACTATTTTGTTAGTATCCTCATCACTTCACTAAGACCTGATGAAAGTAGCTATAACAACAAAGACAAAACTAGCCAATCAGAAAGCATTCAAGATGTAACAATGTCCACCCGATCAGAAAGATCAAATGAAGTTGAACTTTCCAATACCAATGGAGACATTGGTATGACTGGAGGACTGGATGAAATATGTAACTCTGGAAATACCATTGCTAGTGCTTTTACACTTACAGAAATGTGTTATGCATTCAAACAGATCATGATGGTTGATAGACAAAAAGCTGAAAAAATCAAAGACCATGGTAACGAAGAGCGAACGCTTTCAGAGTTGTGTCAGTGGTTGATTCTAGGTATTTGTTTCTGTCCCAAATCTCCAGAAATGTTCAGTCAGATTTCAGAATGGATGAAATTTAATTCTTTTGGCATTGATATTGAGGATGATTCTAGGGTTCCAAATTTACCATCGAAAGCATTTGGGAGATACAGTAGTACTATAGTACTAGAAAGTGACACTGGATTAAATTCTACATTGAGAGATGCTCCAAGTAGTAAATTTCCATGGAAACGTTGGGTTGATGAGATAAAAACTATTGTTTCTTCGGAAACAGTTCTGAATGTATCAAAAGACAAAGACAAGAATCTTCAAGTTGATGCAACTGTCTCATTGTGTAACTATGTTCCTTTGGTCTCAAGCAGACTAAGTTCTGGAAAGATGAGTTCCAGCTTTATGTCCCTAAGGTGTTCTCTAATGAGGTTCTTGAGAATGGTTGTCAAGGTACTCACAGGTATCACAGAATGTTCCTATGGACAAAATGTTATTCTGGATCCAGAAGAAAACTTGTCATTTAGTGAAGATCTGAAGTTTATTATAGGACATCTCTGTGAAGTACTGCAGATTTCCTATTCAGATGGCAACAAACAATGCTGTTTTGAGAAAGACTGGTCATTGTCAGCTATTTTGTGGAGGATAGAGAATAGACAGCCTGATTACACCGGTAACACTGATATAAAAGTTTTCTCAAGTGAAATACAGTAAAACCTGTATTAAGGGTAACATGTCTATAAAGGCTGCTTTTTTGGTTCCCTATGTAATGCAACCATTAGTTATTGAACCTCAATATTAAGGCCACTTAGGAATAAATGCCACTTTTTTCTGTTCCCTGGATTGGCTTTACAGTTCTGTTTTTATTTACAACAAGCTGATCTGTATTGATATTATCATGCAGATTGATGACCTGATTAAAGGGATAGATGGAGAGAAAATAATTTTTGGTAAATTGTTTTGATAAATTTTAGATATCCGGGGTCCATAAAATGAAAACAGACCAAATAGTAACAAATCAAAGTATTCAATAGATGTTTGTTACATTTTTCATTTACGTTTAAAATAGCTATTTGAAATAGAATTAATACCCACCATTATTCATAATTTCAATTATGCAGGACTAGTCCTTGAGCTCTTTTTGAATTTTTTTTTTTATTTTTTTTTTGCAAAATTTGCTACATATTTTCATTGACTTCAAGCACCATGAGTTGTTCATATATCAAATATTTTTGTATGTACAGTTGGAGTGTGATAGACATTGCTATTTTGGACATAACATTCAACTGCCGATCAGTGTTAAACATTTTAGTTCTCAACCTTTAAAGTATTTTCTCTCTTTTTTACTGAATTGAAGTTTTCCTTAATTTTAATTTGCAATCTATGTTTCCAGACTTTAAGTTAATCAATACACTTTCATTTTCTATACAAATTTCAGGGATTCTTCATATGAATGTCTACAAACTATATCATTATTTCTAAATAAAATTTCAGATGGTTTGTTAAAACTTGTGACAACTTTTGATGCTGAAGTTTGGTCAAATTCAAGGTAAGTGTGTTAATATGTACTTACGCAAAATATATGTTTGTATGAACCTCATGAATCTGTGCTCCTTATATTATAGTGATAAAAAATGGTAGACAGGCTGTTGTTATTACAAACAAACATTTATTGATATTAATAGCCATATCACTGATGTGTAAGCGTAAAACATGCTAGTGTATCTATTTTCAGTGAAAAACCTGAATTCGAGATCAGTTTTGTTAAAAGCATAACTGCTAGAAAGTTACAATGTATTTTGTTTTATTGATGAAATATTTAATTGAGACACTATATTATAGCAGTAATTGTGTTTTGACAGTTTGATAAAAACTATACAAGAAGACATGGCTGCACTCCTAACAACTGATATAATGGAAAAGTTTTATGAGCTAGTGGCAAAAATTGCAGACAGTATGGATCCAGAATCACTGTGGCAGCTTAAACAGGTAAAGCTTATGAAACCATTACTTAAAGTGCAGTAAATAGGCTGGAGATATAGTGTTATCTTGTCTAACTATCCCATCCAGCCTGTTCCCAGTTATTGTCATTTTTTGTAAACCTCTCTACAGATTTGGCCCATATGTACTCCATAATGTCATCATGATCTACACTTTGTCATATTCTGGATGATCTTCAGTCAAGGTTAAAGGTTCAAAGGTCACATTTGACAACTGCAGCAAATTCATCAAACAATTTTACTACTTATTGTATATGCATCGGAAGGTTTGATGGGGGAGGGGCACATATCTTACAGATAGTTATGCTTGAGAATCATTTGCTACATAGAAGGCTATTCTAAGCCTTATCCTCTCCAAGTGACTGAGTAACAATGTAACAGTTGAATTTAAGGTCAAAGTAGTTTTGACTTCAATTGTAGCTAGAAGGAAAGGGGGGATAATCAGGATTAGATTGGGACTACTCTTTTAGAATATACAGAGAACTTGTAGCTACAAGGAAAGGGGGGATAATTGGGGTTAGATTGGTTCTACTCTTCTAGAATATACAGAGAACTTGTAGCTACAAGGAAAGGGGGGTAATCGGGGTTAGATTGGTACTACTCTTCTAGAATATACCGAGAACTTGTAGCTACAAGGAAAGGGGGGATAATCAGGGTTAGATTAGTACTACTCTTCTAGAATATACCGAGAAATTTTCAAATAAAATGAAATGTATTTGTCACTGAAACTTCTATGTTTCCCTCCAGCACTATGATGATATTGCACAAGAATAGAAATTTAATAATAACAACAATTATTTCAGGTCTTCTAATTTTACAAAAAATATGTACTACTTAAGCTTTAATGAAAGAAATTTACATGTGAAATACGACAAAAAGGATGCAAGCATTATTTTTATGTTAACTTTTATTATGATAGTTAATGTTAAGGGAGATGTATAGCTTCATAAGGAAAGAAAATCATTCTACTGTTACAGTTGGTGCTGGCTGGTTTTAGTAGTCTCCCTTTGACTGTTCAAGATGAACACATTGCCACAGTGTACTCAACTTATAGACATTGGCCTCATCCTCAAGGCAATCAGTTGGATGGAATTGTAACAACAACACTTAACAAACTCACCATGGAAAACCGTGAAAATGAGAAGGTATTAGTGACATGAATTTCTGTGTATGTATCATGGGAGAAAATCCTTTCTCTGTATTTCCTGTATTTCTTCGTTATAAACATTATCGAGATGTGTTGAGTAGTGTGCTGATGAGGAATTTAAATGATCTAGCTACGTTGGCATTAAGGTATACTGGAACCTCCACACTAGAACCTTTAGGACTTTACTTACAGTTTTCATAATTTTATTTTTCACAAATGATAAAGCTTATGTCATATAAGTAATTTATAAAAACAATGGTCTGTTTCATGACTTTGGTAAAAGCAAAAAATGTTCACTTCTGCTTCAAATTTTTGGTAAAACCGTAAAAGTTTAAATCATTTTGAATACTTTAAATGAATATGTTTTTAAGGTTATCATGTTTTAGTGTTTTTTGTGCTATAGATATTGCACTAAAATAGAATCTTATTTATTGCAGGTTTCGTATCTCGTTAATGTCACAATTAGTATGAATGCATAAATTCATCATTGTTTTCAAAATGGACATTGGGTTAAAATTTCATTGTTCTATAATAAGAACATTTACAATAATAGTGCCGTGTATAAAAGTTTCGAAAAAAAAAAAGAAATAAACTATTGTAAAATTATATGTTTAGTAAAACCAGTAATGTCAAATAGCCAATCATTCATTTATCTTTTTTTTGTCAAAGATCTTCAACAACATTTATAAACTGTGTGCTTGTGTTTGAAGGTTATACTGGAGCTATGTCAGCTCGCCCTGCAGGATGTTGAGCTTGTAATCAAAGGCATTGTAAGCCGGGCTAGTAGCAGTGCACAACAAGCAGAGATAGCTATCAAGGTTTGTACAATGACAAAGCTGAGTGTCATGGTGAGCATTACTACCTATGTGAGATCTCTAGGCTTCCTTACTTGAAACTAGCAACTTTTTGTCTGCAGTTAAAAAAAGTGTAAATGTGAATTTTTATGACTTAAAATATTTTGCTAATAACGTACCAAATATTTTCAGAGTGGAACACTCATCATATGTTTTAAAGTGATAGATTTGAATGAAGTAAGAAAATTAAGCACCCTCATTTCGTTTGTTGATGACTTTTCCAATGAAAAACTGATGTGTTTCTGCGTTTAAGAAGTTTCATTCTAACAGATTCTTATACAAGAGAGGTGAAATAAGATATGAATTGCCTATGACTTTTGCATTTATTGCATTTATTTGATGGGTTTTATGTCCACTATTACAGCCTTTTGGCCTATCAGCAGACCAGAACTTTTATATGTGAAAGTTTTCCTTATATACAGGTCCTAACAAGGATGTCCAATATGGCCTCAGGAAAGACAGAGGGCTGTAGTGTATGTGATAATTTTCATCAGTTCATTCTATGTAATAAGCTGTCTCCTAAGGAACGTCGTAATGCCTTGTACTTCATACAGATGGCAATCCAGGTAAGGTTTCTTACAGATATATCAGAACGTATAAGGTGCCAAGATTGTTAGGTGTGTTGTCTGTAGTCTATTGTCCTTAAGTAACTCATGCTATCAGTGCTCACAGTATTTCTTAATCTTTATTATCCCCTGTGAAATGTGTAAATGGGGGATATTTGGGCTCCGTCCGTCTGTCTGTCCAAGGGCTTTGTTGTACCTTTTGTTATTAACGACATTTCATTTTTTATATTTTTTCTGTTACTTTGAGAACATACTCAAAAAACACAAATATATATATATTTATATATATAATGTTTGTGCCCTAGTTGTGCCTTTTCTTATTGCGGACATTTTATTTTTCTGTTACCATCAAATTTTTCATTTTCTTGTGACTCCTTGTATTACTCTGGAGCTTATAGAGTGTTGCATAAATTTGTTTATGAACAATACCAAGCTCTATTCAAATACCAACAGTCAAACATACAGGATCTACATCAAGATATGTAAACTCTTACCATTAGGTTGAGATCTAAGATAATTATATATATATATAACATTGACGTTGAGGAGATGCAAGGAAATTGATAATTGACAAAAGAGGACGTTACGTTTTGCACTAGCATTTTCATTGTATTAGATCCTCAAGGGATAAAAGCAGTACATAATTGAGTGACATCACAAATTGTTATACAGGTATGTATATGTTTTACACCAACAGCTGGGTTTGGGGGATAATACCATGCTTTGGGGCTCCTTGTCAGTATTTTTTATATAAAATCTTCCTTAGTTCCTATATATGTCACAGGTGTATGTTCAGTTGTAAAGCTATAAGAAACACAATACAGCTATGACATACATTATAGCTGTGGTGTCAATACTTCTTCTTTCCATCCAACTGGATCTATCTGTTGTGCTTTTGGTGTCGGCTATTTCCTGTGAACCATTACATACATCTCAATAACAAAGAAGCAAATAGTCAGGGCGATGGGTTATTGATTATCAGTATCTTTCAGTAGCTTTATAGCTTTCTCCTGGATAACAAAGAGGCCAAGTTTTATGATATTTTACCTGTAACACACTGGAAAGAAGGAATTTTAACTTTCGGATAAACATGAAAGTCACATAAAATAAAGAAGGTCTTCAAAATCGTTTCCTTTAAAGCTGCTGAAAAGGGAATGGACACAGGCCAACTGTGCCTCTTGCTTCTCTCCTGAGATCACTGCCTTTGAAAGAGTGAGAGGTCTTAGGTTGACTTATGAACCTTCTTAATGTAGATAGATTGCAGGGTTGTTATGGGACAGTGATAGTTACACAGAACCAAATATACATTCAATATTAGTTAAATGCATACAGTTTGTTTTATTTGAAATATGACATGTGCAATATATGTTTAGGGGATTTGAATATACCATCCTTATTCATATTTTTTTTGCCGCAGAAACCATTCAACAGTGAAGACATTATGAGGACACCACTGCTGAATTGTAACAAGTTCATCCAGAAAACTGTTCTACCATTCCTCAATGTTTCATCTCTTAGTAACCAAAATCAAGGCATGGATACCATTTTTGCATTAGAGATTTTCATTAGTATTATTGAAGCAATGAAACATCATAAGGCCTTTCTGACTAGCTTAGTGAGGTCCTTAGCAACCGAATCTGCGCCTTGGTTACTGAGTGTGGCTGAACTATGGCAGCATAGTGTGGCTCTTTGGGAATCGGATGAAGATGCAGGAGTGAGGTTGAAGTTGAAAGAAAATTTGGTGAAGTTTTCAGCTCTACTTAAGTTGATGAATGCTTCTGGTGAACTGTGCACTTATGGTAAGCGAAAGTACATTTCCTTCATTGGCTTCAATTTAACTTTAAAATGATTTCTTCTGAAGAAACAGATTTTTTAAAACAGATTTTTTAAAAGGTGACAGTAATACAGTGATATGAACCGTTAACACAATAGCAAAAATTCTTTTTGCAAAAACTTATCATTGTAGTACCAGTTCAGTTAAGATCGAATTGGAAAGGGGCCATGGTTTAGTCTAGGTATTGGAATGATAAAATATGATGTAATTTTAATGGACTGTACAGAAATTTTCCAAGAAATATTTCAATTTCTAATAATTATTACAAAAGACTTGTGTTACAACGCATGTAAAGCATGATATTTGATTTATCCACATGTTTATTGATAAGGACTTAGACAATTCCTTTACTGACTCTCATAATCAACTGTTTTACAGGCCCTGAGACAAGTGTGTGGCTCCACAGTCATCTAGAACAACTGGACTGGTCAGTTCAACTCCATATGGCAGAAATACTAGGTCCAGTAACATACACACAGGTCAGATCCAAATTCATTCCTTCATTGTATGGTGTAAGTGTAATCTTGAATGCTCAATGGATTGCTGAGTGAAATGCCATGTGTAGCTGACTTCTGAAGAAGGAAGTGTGATACATTGTTGGAGATAGTATAAATATTGTTTTAGTGAATTTTTTTCCTTTGTTTTTGATATGCAAAAAGATTTTTAACCAATATATACTAATAGAAATGTAGATCAAGTGCCTTTAAATACCACAACATGTATAGATCGTGCAGATTCTCTATTTATTTACCGGTATATACTTTTTACACTGATCAAACTGAAATATACATGAAGGAGTGACAGGCAGGTCCTGATGAAAGAGCTTTTGTAGATGTAGAGAAGGGGTCCTTTAACATGTGTCAGATCCTTTGTATACTCAGTGTTAATACAAGTCTGGATCAAAGTAATTAAAACTTGAAATCTAGAAATTACGAAAATTATCTGGATCCATGCATCATGCATAATAATCTTAAGTTCTAAATACTTTTGATATTTTGATATTTCTATATGGTCTTAGCACTGTCAGCTTGATATCTCTATTATTCTTTGAAATTATACTCAAGGTTTAAAACCTAGAATAACAAACTAAAGGTAGACACAGCACCTGTTAAGGATTTTGGTATGCCATTGCTTTCATTTTCCAAGTGTAATGGTAAATTGTTTTCATTTTCTCTTTGAAAGGTTATGAAAAATAGATACAATAAAATTGTAATGCAAGTATATATAAATAGATCTAATTTATTCGTTATTAATAATCTGGACCGTGATGCTACTGGCATTGTTTTCTCATGCTGAAGGTCCAAGTCTTGGAGATATAAAAGATACATACACAGTGTATCAAAATGCTTGATTTGGCTTTCAACAGAAACTCGAGTTTTTTGACAAGTGTTGAATTTATTATCCACTCAGTGTTACTTAATTCTGCTATATGTGATTTGCCGTTTCACATCAGCAGTTCTTTTGCTGCAGTTTTAACTTCTATATGGTGTCTGTTTTTGCAGGAATGTGAGCTGGAGGAACTCTGTCTAGCACTGATAAACAATTCAGGTAATAATATAGCTTGCTTGGTGAGAACAGATTTGTTTGAGCAGTCTATGATAGACATCTTATCATAGCCTAAATCATATAATAGATATAAAAGACAATAAATATATTGTACTTACGCAATCCTTTGGAAGACATCCAATAGTCACATAGTACATCTATGTGAGAGTTCAGATTAATGACAGGAAGAGAGATAACATCCTTATTTTTGAAAAAAATGTTGTTAGCTGTTGACTTCATTAGTCATTGAAACTATAGATATTTGATTATATTTAATGAACAGATGTAGGTATACTTAGTTAACTTTGACAGGTGACAGAGTTTACCTGGATCTGCTGCGAGCAGCTGCTGTTAGTGAACCAATGATGCATTCTGTGGCCCAGATGTTTACAAAAGCAGACTCAGGCCTGGTTCTGGTATATGAGGATATGGTAGTGACATTAGCACAGGTATGGTATCTCTCAGTTTCATGTGTTCATAATAAAAGATGGTTTCTGTTTGGCAAAATGAGCTTAGACCATGTCTTTCATCAGCTTTTCTAAGAACAGAGCCAGTGAACCATATTTTTTTGAAGAATGTTGTCAACTTTATTACAGGATCCAGTGTATCTAAATTAGAATAAAAAAAAAAAAGATAATAAAAAATTCAGTGAACCTCCAGTCAGTTTGAATTGGCAGATAGTTCCAACACATGATTTTTTTCAATAAAAACAATAATTTTATGTCTAATGATAGTTCCAACCCCTTCTAGTTTGTTTCACTTCCATTCTGAATTGTTCAAACATATCGCTAGACCACCCGTCTTGCTATTGACAAAGTCATTGGCGTTGCAATAATCCCTCCATGTTGTCTCTTCATATCAACATTACACACAGTATGTAGCAAGCTGTAAATGACCATCGTTAGCAATTGATAGCGTCATATTACACACATACATGTCACTTAATTAGCACTGATGTGTAGTGATTTATTTCATGCCGTAACATTTTGCACACTCTAGCTGACACAACTCAAACTGTGTATTACAAGCTAAGTGATTGGTAGATATATACAGACCATGGGATGTAGGTATATGTTTTGTCAAAGAACAATTTTTTTTTCACTTCATAAGAAAATCACATCAAGATGGCCGCAATAATGATTGTAAGATTTATTTACAGTAATCCATAGTCATATAAAGTCTCCATCCACACTCTGCGTACCAATAATTCAATGCTAACTTCCATCAATTTACAAGCAGAAAATTATTGACAGCACTATTCTAGAGTGATTTTCATCAAGGTTTCACACTTTTAAAGTACTGAAATATCTTCTCGGGTCATGGTCAAGGTCCTTTTTTAGAAAATCATATTCGACACTAGCAGCTTCATTCCTTACAGGATTTTGATCAAATCATACTTACAAATGACCATAACACATTATTACACAATGGTGATGGAACTGAATTGTCAGATTTTCATACTTGTTATTCAGTTGTTACATAAAAATGCAGTTTCAAACTAATTGTATGTTTTTTTTTATTTTTCAAAAATAAGATGAAACAGCACCATCTTTATAAATAATTTCAGTGTTATAGCATGCAGGAGCCAGAAGGGTACATGTGTTGCTTTAGCGAACTCTGTATGCTTGTTTTACCTGTTTTACTAAAACATCAGATAATGCATCTTTTTTTTGAGAAAGAAAACGGAAATTAAGATGATCATCTTCAAAATGAAAATACCTAAATCAGTTGTAAGGATTTAGTATGAAAGAACAGTATTATGTAAAATGTCGGCAGTTTTATTCACCTGAACATTTAATATTTTTCCATTTATTTCATTCAGTTTGACAACATACTGTGAAATTGAAATTTTAACTATACTTAATCAATTGCGTTTAAAATGTGTTTTTGCCAAAGATGCTACCACACTGTGTGTTTGAAGAGTGGAAGAGAGTTACACAGTTAATACAAAGACTTTTTGATCAGGAACATCCAACTCTCCAGCACAACAATAGATATGGACTAGAGAACTTTGGGAAGCACTCAGAAGGTACAGGTTAATATACAGTACATTGTAAGGTATTCATTTGTATTCATTTGTGATAAACCTATTCTTATTTTAAAAACTTGATCAATTTTTTACAGATTGTAAGTCAATATGTATTGATGCTAATGAATCAGTTCAGTCGTAGCGTTGTTGATAAATATATTGTACATATATATATATACTTTTACCATTGCGTGCTAATACATAGCAGAAATAATTTCAACTGAACAGTTAAAGAGTTCAGTCAGTGATCAAGATTGATAATTAATTAGTACCACAATCTTTACTCCCTAGCTGTGTTGCAGTCATTGAATCTTTCTCAATTGTTGCATGATGTCATGGTGGTCCTTCAATATACTACGCTAACAACAAATATGGCTGGCTTGTTACACTGCACCAAATGTTACGTGGCAGTTCTTAAGGTAAGAATCATTTTTTTACACTTGAATCACCTTGTCTGTTAATTTGTTACTCTGTCTGTAACTATCCCCGAAATCTTGTCCTTTGCTGCATCAGTTACAACAATGATAATATTGATTGTCTCATATTGTTGTCATGGTAACCAAAAGTGCAGTCTCTGCTTAGTAAAAATTTATTGTCAACAAGAAAATAAAAAGTTCCAGGCATGGTATCGAGAGAATGTGAATACAACATTATTAAATGACCACTTATGGTATATGACAACACTGTTATGAGGGGTTTTGCAGTAAAATTGTAATATGAAGAAATGTTATTAAACAGACATTTTATAGTTAGAAGTTGGCTTTTGATCTTTTATTAAATGATAAATAGATAAGTTATCCTCTTAAGTAAAGGTAACACTGTCGGTGATGTCAGATTTACTCTTATTGATGTCCAACAGGAGTATGTCCTTGTTAAGGAGAGCACCCTATCTGCATCAGAACATCTATTACTGCTCACAGAAGTGTTTTGTCATGTGTGCAATGCAACTTATTGGATGCCAATGGAGACTCTCGATCCCTTGGACGTTCTTCAACTCGACATGGTGTGTTCTCTAGAACTGGTCAAACGTGAACTGGATATGAATGCATTTACGACTCTCTTTACGCACAGCATCAAGCATGTCACCCAAAATTTACAAACTGTCCAAAATGCAGACACAAAGAGTATGCTGGATAAGAAGATCACAGCATTATTACAATGATAAAACCCGTCCTTTGATCATATCCAAGTTAGTGACACATTTAGTGTGTCAATTATCTCTCTTTAAAGGGTAAAGTTGACATGTATTTGAACTATTTCATTTCAGGAGGAAATGAGGAATTTGAAGATTGAAGCAAAATTGATTCTTAAGTGTCCGATTAAAATATTGCAATAATTTGTGGAATTTGTCATAATTAAAGATTCTAATGATCTGTTTTATACATACATCCATCATATGTTTCAGTCTTGTGTTGTGGCATTTTAAAATTCAGACACAGGACTTCCTGTTGACTTTTTTCATCTTGAAATTTTGTTTAAAAAGGCACAAAAAATATATTGAGTTGATTGTGTAAGTTATGTTTAAACAGGTATAGCTACACAAGGTACTGATGTTGGATCAAAATCATAATTAATATGCCTGGTATATAGCATTTCTTATAATGGGGCAATTAATGATAGTCTATTAGTCTGTGGAATGTAGAACCTGCATGCATCAGCCGTGACAAAGATCTCTTGTGCTACTTTCTGAGTCTGTTTATGACAGTAACCAGTTTCTGGTAGTCATTTAGCTCATTGTACACCTGTGCTGACACTCGTATATACAAATGTCCTTGTACACAGAACATCTGGGTCTGTATGTCATACTGGGCATACAGATCATTAACCAATCGGCCAGCATCTTCCTGTAAACCAAAATACAAAAGTGTTGTATGTGAAATACGTACATGTATAAAAGAAATTGAATTAGTTATAGTCCAATTGTGCAAAAAAGATGTAAATGTTATTAAAAGTTAGTGTTGTACACAAGGCACACTAGTGAAACCAAATTTATTTGTAGTAAGTTGAAATTCAATAGTTAGGAAAATCATAGTAGTCTGTTTAACCAAATGTTTAATTTTAAGTAAAAAAAGTACAGTAATCTCCTTTGCACAATTTGAATTAAACATCTAGTTGTTTTATAAGACTTCCAGGTTAATATCGCAACCAAAAAACTCGGCAAACGCTTCCGCTCAACAAAGTTGGATAGTCATGTCAAATACATAGTAGTTACTAGTTCCATTAAACCAGAATTTTTTTTATATATGCATTATACATATGTATCTCATGTGCAGTTACATGTAACAAAGACATGTTGTGTATGTAATGAAGACAAAGTGTTTGAAAATACATTCTATATCATTGCTGGTTAGGAGAGATAAGAATGACATTACAGTAGAATTATTATGAATTGATGACAGCTGATTTTTACAGTGCTGTGAAGTGCAAAGGATTGTATGTCACATTCCAAGTCATTGACATGACCTACTTTGTGTAGAGACAGCTGGTTACACATGAAATAGTTAGTGACAATTGTTGTTTGATCTGGTATACTCACGGAACAGTTACCGACATCGTTAGTATGTTTAATTTTAATCTTGTGTAAAATAGAACAGTTACCGACAACAATAGTATGTTTGATGAGGAGTTGACTGGCAAGTTTTTACAGTCACATAGATGATAAAACGTGTTACTGACCGAATTGTTTCCATAGGCCTTGAGCTGCGGTAGTCTGACCATCCTAACACATGGCGCCTCCAATGACTTTGGAATAGGCAATGTGTGCGTTTCCCAGCTAGAGGTAATGAGGTCGACTGCTTCTTTCAGTAACGCAGTGTTATATTCCATAACCGTTTCCTTATTTGAAACAAAGTTACATAGGCTGAATATAGCATACATTTTATTAACGATTTTTCTGTGATGAAAATATCAGGGGGAAAAATTGATAATTTTTGTCAATTTGTTGTTTTCGCAGCAGATGAATATGATTAACCAAAAAAGTAAGTTTTAAGACATAAGTAAGTACAACAAGCATCTGATGCAGTTGTGAAGACTGTATTTTTGAATTAGGTGTCCATTAATTACCATTCCTCCGATGTCTTTATAAAACTGGAGGGCGTGTTGTACGGTTATATACGGTGTATCATCCCGGTATCCCTGCATGAAAAATTCATTGGTCATATCTTGTTCGTAGTTGTGTGACGTCACTAATGGCCTGACCAGTTGGCGATAAGATTTCTTTACATACAGGAAGCCACACCCTCTTGGTGTGAACGCCCACTTGTGGAAGTTCCCTGTAATGTAAGATATGGAGATAAATTTTCCGAAAGTGTTCACAGATTAGTCTTTCCAATTTATATTCTTATCTTTCATTTTATTTTCATTATTCTTTATTGTTTTGATATCAGAAATACCGACTGTACCACTCTTGTTGGCCCTTTTGACGTCTGTTCGGACACTCGAAATCGGACGTTTCAATGAAAGATGAGTGCTTTTCCTCTGCGCCATCCAACTACTTTGTGATCAGGACACTATCATCAAATTGCTCAACGTCCGTGGTCTTTCGTCAGTAAACAATACTTTATATTGCTATTACTTGACAAGTACTGAATGGATCCCTTTGGTCCCAAGTTGTGTCGGTTTGATTTTGGGACTGACCCGAAAAAACAAAACATCTTTCTGATAAAACGTACCACAGTAAAAATCCGGGTCCAAACTCTTCATGTCCAAAGCCACCTGCCCAGGCGCGTTGGCGCCATCTACAAGTACCATTACGTTCATATCCTTACACAGTTTGACAATCTTGTGTACGGGAAACTTCAGCGCAGTCTGACTTGTTATGTGATCTAGAAGGATGACCAATAAAAGTGATGTACATAGCAGTGGTTTGAAGATTCAGCTGTTATGTAGGCATAAGGTTTAACACAAACAATACTCCAGGTTCTGTTTTCTCAAAACAATCGATTAAAGAATGTCCTTTTCATATTGTTCGTGATCATATCTATGACTATTAAAGTTTTTCCCCATACTTCAATATATTTTTCATGACTTGCATTAGGACAAGAGATTCTAGATTTCATGCTAAACGACATATTCTTCTTATGTATGAATGTGGTTTGAGTGGCCGCAATCTATAAGCTTTGAATACATCTTAAAAGTCCCTTACTCTAGGTAATAAAAACGTTCAAATCTATAATAACTTATAAATACATACCTACAACGACTAGTTTTATATCTGGGTGCTCCATTATGAATTTGCGATGCTCTTCAACTAAATCGTCTTCACTTTCGATAGGAAATGATATTTTCATAGTGTGCGCTTTCATACCTGGAAAATATGACTGACTGTGCAAATTGAAAAGCTGTAAAATATGAACTGCTTGGACACAAGTATGGGTATTCCTGTTTATAAAAGGCACTAAACATGCCAGTTCAGCTATCATTGTTTCAATGATAAGGCAACACAACACTATTATATGTAATTAAATATACGTTCTCAACAGTTATTTTGGAATAATTTCTTCAGGTTGGTAATGCCATTAGAATAGAAGTTCTTAAAACACAACCAGTAGGAGATAAAAGTGTGACGTTTCGATTACACGGTCACCTTCATCAGACCGGACTATATAGTGCAGCTGAAAAAGTTGGTCGATTCCGTACCATCCCGTGCCTTACGTACTTCAGTGTCTAGTACGCTCCACACTGGTAATTTGTCTGATGAAGGTGACCGTGTAGTCATCGAAACGCCACAGTCTTATCGTCTACTGGTCGTGTTATAAGAATTTCTATTCTATGTTCCCAACAGTTCTTTTTTTAATCGGTGATCGAAGGCATGATAAATGTTATAGAAGAGGTATGGATCATTTAAGTCATGCAATCGAAAATGGACCAATCAATCATATGGAAATACGGTCATGTATAACAGATGTATGTATGTTGGTAGTTAGTTCGAAGTGTATGCCATAATAACAGTGTAATGGTACTAATCTGATAATCATTACTGTTGTGGTTACCAACTCCAGGAAAGAAATGAAACAAAAGCCTTCATATCGTAACTTTACAAAGTCTGATTCTGAAAATTCCTCGCTCTCATGGTAATGGCTTTTCCATACGAAAAACGGTGTCCAGCATTGACTAGTGGTATAAATTCCACCAAGTCAATCACTAGTGTAATGGAATTTGCATGTTTTCATTATATAAGAGAATTATATATATATCAGTAAAACGCCATTCAGGTTGCTTTCAATGATGTATACACACAAACAACATCTGACTTTACTGCATGGATATATATAGAGGATTGTATACATTAAAATAACCTTTTAGATTGGTTGATAGTTGGCGGCATGTGTTCTGTACTGCTCCGAATGAGTTGTTTGTAAACATCAAGGCATCCTCATGTGTAAACGGAAAGGTCTTCAGGACAGAGTTAAAACCTGAGGTACAAGAGTTAATCAAATTTTCGCTGTTGCGAGGATCGAATGATATCGTAAAAAGCAGATGCATCATGTACCACGAAAAGAAAATTTCAGAAAACAGTAGTTTGTATCGTGACTTCCGTGAAAAATATTCCCTGTGTGTTCTCAACCTTTTTGTACAACCATCGAAAGAAAACATTTATAGTGTACGTTCTGAGAATACCAATGCGTGGACACCTCATTCATCTTAAATGTAATACTGTGTTGTGCTTAGAACGTTTTGTATCTGGAAGTTCTGACTTTGTAGTAACTAATCAAAATCAAGAAAAAGGCAAAAGTATAAGCTTTAAGTATAAGTTTTAACTGAACTTTTAAACTAACACTTAATTTACGAAAGATGAGCAAAATGTCAAAAGAATCAAGGAAAGCTTTCATCTTAAAGAACAAGAAACTAATGTTTTCTCATGATATCCTGATTAGGGTAATAAAGCTGTGTGTTCATCACAATATGATTACCTGTTGTTGCATTCTGGACAAAGACGAAGTCCTCAGGATCAGCATTGATAAACCTTGCTGCACAGTCTCTTGCTGCAATCCACATGTTTTTTAACTTCCTTCTCATCCAGTCGTCAGGGTGATCGTCGATTTCGTCAATGTATCTAGTAAACCATTTCATTTACAACACGGTTACAATGTTTACCAAATGGGATGGTTAGAATTTATCTCTAGTCTGAAAAGGACGTGTATGCGTGTACTACGTCGCAAGCAATATGAGAATCACATAATTGTTCAATTGAGAATTTTACGGTGTTAACATCTGGTTGCTGATTTGGTACTTACTATTGTTTTATGAAAAAATTTCACGATTTTTTTTCAAAGATTTAACAAAGGACACAAAAGTGAATAGCGCCTTTTCCTGATTTAGAGTGAGATACAGTAGAGCCAAACAATGAATTAAACTGCATCATACAGCTGTTTCGTCTTTCCAGGACTCGTCAGTGATGCTAAGACCTAAAAACCATATTGCGCCCAAATATGACCTTTATACCTTGTAGTTCGTACTGGCATACCTTAAATGAATTTCCCGAACTCGTCTTGGAATACTTCCTCTTGCAGCATTGTTAAGAAAGGTAGAGCCTTTCCTCAGTGAGAATTCTGCCTCTCTGATAGGATGACCGAATTCCGTTACAACAGGTGATGAATAATCAGATGTGCTAAAAAAATTATGCCAAAGTTATTAACATCAAGTACAGACAATACACGTGGAATTTATACTGCGGTGGTATTTCTTAACTCGAATCTTATATTAGTATTCAATTAATTCAAAATAAATGTGTTGGTAAAATTTACAAACAACATTGCCTTTATTAGAACACCAATATACATAAAGTTTTGTCTAATATGAGCGATCACATGGGAGTACTATTTTGTCATCATTTGTTTACTGTTTACAATACTACATAAGAATGCAAAGCAACATAACGATCAGAAAAGTGTACACCTTGTGATTGTTTCATTATAAATGTCTATGTCTTAGGTGAAAACCTCTGGTGTCAAGAAACAAAATTTCGTTGAAATAAAATATATTTACATCTTTATTGGAATTAACGTCAAACATTTAATTTTTGTATTTTGATGCTATCTGGGAATCCTAATCAACGAAATTTTTTTTTTTTTGTTTTTAAGTTCTGCTATAAGCATCTTGATTACATCTTTCAATACAAAATCAGATTGAATTACAGTAAAGCAAAATTTAACTGCATCATACAGCAGTTTCGTTCAGCTAGGACTAGTCAGTGGTGCTGGAGTCTAAAATGTGAACACCTAGAGTACGGGGTATTGCACTAGCCCCTAAAAAATCAGCATTTTGTATGAAGATTCTAAAACTGGCTTCTAATCCAGGATTGTCGGTATCTCTCATTATCATTGGAAATATTTACAAAAGTTGGGGTGTCAATCTTACTCTCGCATCTGTGTAATGGCCTCCAGAAGTTTGTCGTAGTCAGCTGCCGTATTGTAGACATTGGCAGAGAGTCGCACGTACAGATTGCAATCAACGTACAGTGTTGCCGTCTGTATGTTCCATCGGCTGTATATTTCAGACATCAGTCTAACCGATTCACTCTGGAAATGTCATGCGAACTAAGTTTATATCTGGGATTGATTGGAAAACACGAATCGATTGTGTTCTCATAAAATGACAGGTCTTTTTTCTCTTTCTTTTGTTCCCAAAATACATAAATGAATAACAATTCAATTTTAATTCATTACTTATAGTATGGTTCTGATCATGAACTAAACTACAACATGTAGTTGTTTTGTTCTTTGATTCGGACGAGAACTCATCAATAACACTAGGGTCTTTCTAGGAGATTCTAAATGGACTAAACAAATGGTTAAATAAGGAGGGAAGGAGTCCACTAACCCCGTAAATCATTTTCGCAAATTTCCAAATGTATGAAATTGATAGAAGATTGCACCATGTTCTCCCCATATCAAATCCAGTGGAAATCCATCGGTTTAGGTAGATGTTGGTGTGATAATTAAGTACTTGTGTATCCATATGTAAACCATGTTCTGGTGGTGAAGAAGTGACGTTGTTTAATTGATCGGACCTACAACTCGGTACCAAGAGGTCTGATGTGATTGGATTGCACTTGTATCATCAACTGACAACTGAAGTGGTTAGGTTATTACTAATATCTGCTGAGAACAACGAAGTTTGGATACCTAATGGATATCTACTGTTGACAAAAATTTATAATTAATTATCTACTTTTTATATAAATGCATGGCCATGGCTGGATTATCTGATGGAGACATGAGTGAACAATACTAGAGTCTAAGTTTTTACGGATGAGGCTAGCCCAATTTTTTTTTCTTGTGAAACATATTACAGTCAGTTTCCTCTATTTACGTATATCAAACTTTGTCCCTTTATCAAGTTTCCGAGTGGGATCACATTAATGAAAAGTAACCATTGCTACCAGAAGGAAATTGATATAAAGATATCGGCTGTCACTTAGATAATGAAGACCAAAACATATTAATGAAGTATCTAAAATGAAAAGTTTGACCGCAGATTTGACTGAATTATCAATATCATAAAAATGAAATGTCGGAATCGCACTTTTTCAGAAACTAGAATTAATATTGTCGGTGTATTGATTTGAAGTACAATTTGCGGTATTTTTATTTCAGCGATCTATGATCAAAATATAAGTGAAAATTATTGTACATCATTTTCTACTTTTATGTATTGATTATGAACCAATTTTTATTTTATTGTCTTTTATATTTCCAAAGATTTGGTCCCTAGAATCCCAGAAGAACCTAAACATCTATGTTGTAATATGGTTTAGTATTTGTTAGAGACATCTTAAACTGCAGTAAATTACTGTAGACGGGATGTATCCGGTCAACTTCGGTAGTTTGACCATTCTCATATATGGGGACTCCATCTTTCGGGGGACCGGAAGTTTAGCTGTTCCCCATTCCGCCACCATCTTACTTGCAGCCTGGTCCAGTAACTGGGAGCAGTAACGTGTGATCGCATCCTGAGAAAGAAGAAAATTCAGAAAGGTCATGAATCAAAAGTAAAACCGACAGCGTTAAAAACGCACTGCAGCTAGTCATGTTGAAATTTACGGAAGTTGACAAAATGTCAATTCTTATCAGGTAAAGGTTAGTGTAGCGAGACAAACCCCACTCAAAACATTTAAGAATTAAGAAACAGATACCTTGAATATAAAATTGGTATAGAAATGTAGCATTCTTCTTGTGATTTCTGTGATTTATTCTATTCAAACTTGTGGCAAAACGAGAAAAACTAATAAAAAAAAATAGAATCCAACTCGCGTTATGGATTAACATTTTTTCAGTTTTCATTCAAAAACATGCTCTTTTTGTATAGAATTAAATTATATACCATTCCACCGATGTCGTTGTAGAATTTCAAAGCTTCTGGTAAACAGAAATATGGGCAGTCATCACGTGTTCCTTGCATGAAGAACTGTAGATCCAGACTTTTGCTATAATTGGTTGATGTAACTAATGGAGACACCCATGTCTGGTGGTCCTTCTTAATATACAGTAAAGCGCATCCACGGGGTGTGTAAAGCCATTTGTGGAAATTTCCTATTGATAAACAAATATGAATAGCTGTTACACGTACAAAGTTTACAAACTTTATCATGCAGGAGAATATAGAAGTTGCCGTAAAAGTCTTCTTAGATCATAAAAAGTCAAACAATTAAATAGCACCTTTCAGCACAAATTTAATATTAGTTACAGAATAGCGAAATAATGACTTAAACTGCATCGTCTTTCCATAACCCGTCATTGATACTAAAGGTCCAAATAGTTACAACGGAGGTGATGACCGAAGAAAATCTTGATTAGTCGTCCAAGTACAATATATAGCGAGACTACCTTTATATAAATACAGTTGTTATAGATGTTTATATATAAGTCAATAAAAATAAATGAAAGATAAACTATGCCACAATATTCATATACAAATGTAATTGGTACGGATGAGTCTACAGAAGGACAACAGGTAGATTTGACTCGATATTTTTTTTTATTTATATATTTACTTAAGCAGGGCATTTTGGAGTGCTACTTCTTAGGAAAGGTGTCCTACACCATAGTTTTTTTTTTAAAATAAAATTGAAGATGTGGAACTCTAAAACGTTTTACCTGTATAAAAATCTGGATCAATATCCTTCATGTCAATGGGAACCTGTCCCGGTGCATGTGCACCGTCAATCATGGTCAGAACGTTATGGTCCCGACATGCTTCAATGATCCTCTTAATAGGAAGGTGTAGTGCAGTAATGCTTGTGATATGATCTGTGAAACAAACATAAATATTAATAGTACAGTTGGGTTTTTTTTTTTACAAAAGTACACATCGGCAATGAATAAAATAAAATGTTATTATTGCATTTGCCAGTAACTAATATATGCTTGTATTTGTTAATTTTTTTAAATTAAACATATTTTTTGCAAAAATTATTACAACAGGATTAGGTACAAGTTATAACAACTTATGAGACACCCTGCCCCAATATATAACAAAATATAGTTAGACAACGCAATAGCCATATGGCAACAAATACACTAACTACATATTTTAGGAGAGAGAGAGAGAGAGAGAGAGAGAGAGAGAGAGAGGAGGAGGAGGAGGAGGAGGAGGATTGAGGGGGTAGTTTAGGCATATTAACCATAAAGTAACTTACCAACTACAGCAATTTTAATATTTGGGTGCTGGCTGAGGAAAGTGTTGTATTGTTGTACAATTTCGTCTTCTGATTGGATAGGGAAGCAGATATCCATCACAAGTAATTGTCCTCCTACAGGGGAATGTTATCCGAGGTCAACAACGTCATTGTGTTTATAAACAACTTTAGGTACATGTAGACAAAGTATAACATATGTGTTTGTTTTTAGCACTTATTTACATCCTTCATCTAAAAATGATAATTGATGTTTGAGAGGAATATATCATATATCAGTCAGGGATCGATACAGTACAGATATCATGAAATCCTAACTCATTCTCTTTATGATTCAAGATTTTTTTACCAATTTTTTACATTACATAATCCGGCACCTGTGTTGCTGACTGATCGCTCAAACCTTTATATTATGTCTAGATCGAATCAGGATCAATGTCTAGCAATATTGACTCTATCAATACATAAATGGCTATACCACAACCGCCCGTGGAAATATGGTGGGCTGTATTTCTTATTGCTGCATATGTGTTGCTTGTGACCAGAATTGCCTCAGTTTCCTTCAGCTTGAGTGCCTTTAATACTGTGTTGATACCTTGTAGAGGGAAGAAAATGTGTATTCTTTTAAATCATCAACATATCATTACAAAACTAAAAGATTGTTTCGCCAATTATATATTTCCAGTCCTCTTATACTGTTCTTCAGGGGACAAACATTTCAGCTGAGAATTTTTGTTCAGTTTAGAAATCCAAGCGATACATAACATTTAGATTAACTCTTAACATCTTTGTATAAGACGCCTCCATTGGCTAATATTTCATTATACATGTGAGGAATCACTTGAATAATTTATTTTCTTTTTATAGATGTACCCGTAGTTGCATTTTGGACCAGCACAATGTCGTCAACGTCTGAGTTGACGAGTGATGCAGCCAAGTCCCTCGCCGCCATCCACAGCCCCTTGCTCTTTCTCTGGAACCAGTCATCTGGATGTTCGTCTGTCACGTACAAATACCTGAAACACACTTATATTTTCTAAGCTCACTGAGGCTATTCCGTGTTGTGAATGACAACTAGTCTGTTCGAATATAGTGAATCTTTTGTCATTGTTATATGATATCTTATTTCGTTCCCACGTCTTATACTGCATGACGCATAGTCAATGTATATTTTGTCCATTTTAATTGTAATTCTATGTTATTCTTCGATCCTGTCAGTTGTCTCCTGTTCACACGTACGTCTATCTACTATATATTGATTATAATTCTGTTATTCTTCGATCCTGTCAGTTGTCTCCTGTTCACACGTACGTCTATCTACTATATATTGATTATAATTCTGTTATTCTTCGATCCTGTCAGTTGTCTCCTGTTCACACGTACGTCTATCTACTATATATTGATTATAATTCTGTTATTCTTCGATCCTGTCAGTTGTCTCCTGTTCACACGTACGTCTATCTACTATATATTGATTATAATTCTATGTTGTTCTTCGATCCTGTCAGTTGTCTCCTGTTCACACGTACGTCTATCTACTATATATTGATTATAATTCTATGTTGTTCTTCGATCCTGTCAGTTGTCTCCTGTTTACACGTACGTCTATCTACTATATATTGATTATAATGCTATGTTATTCTTCGATCCTGTCAGTTGTCTCCTGTTCACACGTACGTCTATCTACTATATATTGATTATAATTCTATGTTATTCTTCGATCCTGTCAGTTGTCTCCTGTTCACACGTACGTCTATCTACTATATATTGATTATAATTCTGTTATTCTTCGATCCTGTCAGTTGTCTCCTGTTCACACGTACGTCTATCTACTATATATTGATTATAATTCTGTTATTCTTCGATCCTGTCAGTTGTCTCCTGTTCACACGTACGTCTATCTACTATATATTGATTATAATTCTATGTTGTTCTTCGATCCTGTCAGTTGTCTCCTGTTCACACGTACGTCTATCTACTATATATTGATTATAATTCTATGTTGTTCTTCGATCCTGTCAGTTGTCTCCTGTTCACACGTACGTCTATCTACTATATATTGATTATAATTCTATGTTGTTCTTCGATCCTGTCAGTTGTCTCCTGTTCACACGTACGTCTATCTACTATATATTGATTATAATTCTATGTTGTTCTTCGATCCTGTCAGTTGTCTCCTGTTCACACGTACGTCTATCTACTATATATTGATTATAATTCTGTTATTCTTCGATCCTGTCAGTTGCCTCCTGTTCACACGTACGTCTATCTACTATATATTGATTATAATTCTGTTATTCTTCGATATTGTCTCCTGTTCATACGTCTATCTACTATATATTGATTATAATTCTATGTTGTTCTTCGATCCTGTCACTTGTCTCCTGTTCACACGTACGTCTATCTACTATATATTGATTATAATTCTGTTATTCTTCGATCCTGTCAGTTGTCTCCTGTTCACACATACGTCTATCTACTATATATTGATTATAATTCTATGTTGTTCTTCGATCCTGTCACTTGTCTCCTGTTCACACGTACGTCTATCTACTATATATTGATTATAATTCTATGTTGTTCTTCGATCCTGTCACTTGTCTCCTGTTCACACGTACGTCTATCTACTATATATTGATTATAATTCTATGTTGTTCTTCGATCCTGTCAGTTGTCTCCTGTTCACACGTACGTCTATCTACTATATATTGATTATAATTCTGTTATTCTTCGATCCTGTCAGTTGTCTCCTGTTCACACGTACGTCTATCTACTATATACTGATTATAATTCTGTTATTCTTCGATCCTGTCAGTTGTCTCCTGTTCACACGTACGTCTATCTACTATATATTGATTATAATTCTGTTATTCTTCGATCCTGTCAGTTGTCTCCTGTTCACACATACGTCTATCTACTATATATTGATTATAATTCTGTTATTCTTCTATCCTGTCAGTTGTCTCCTGTTCACACGTACGTCTATCTACTATATATTGATTATAATTCTGTTATTCTTCGATCCTGTCAGTTGTCTCCTGTTCACACGTACGTCTATCTACTATATATTGATTATAATTCTATGTTGTTCTTCGATCCTGTCAGTTGTCTCCTGTTCACACGTACGTCTATCTACTATATATTGATTATAATTCTGTTATTCTTCGATCCTGTCAGTTGTCTCCTGTTCACACGTACGTCTATCTACTATATATTGATTATAATTCTATGTTGTTCTTCGATCCTGTCAGTTGTCTCCTGTTCACACGTACGTCTATCTACTATATATTGATTATAATTCTGTTATTCTTCGATCCTGTCAGTTGTCTCCTGTTCACACGTACGTCTATCTACTATATATTGATTATAATTCTGTTATTCTTCGATCCTGTCAGTTGTCTCCTGTTCACACGTACGTCTATCTACTATATATTGATTATAATTCTGTTATTCTTCGATCCTGTCAGTTGTCTCCTGTTCACACGTACGTCTATCTACTATATATTGATTATAATTCTGTTATTCTTCGATCCTGTCAGTTGTCTCCTGTTCACACGTACGTCTATCTACTATATATTGATTATAATTCTGTTATTCTTCGATCCTGTCAGTTGTCTCCTGTTCACACGTACGTCTATCTACTATATATTGATTATAATTCTGTTATTCTTCGATCCTGTCAGTTGTCTCCTGTTCACACGTACGTCTATCTACTATATATTGATTATAATTCTGTTATTCTTCGATCCTGTCAGTTGTCTCCTGTTCACACGTACGTCTATCTACTATATATTGATTATAATTCTATGTTGTTCTTCGATCCTGTCAGTTGTCTCCTGTTCACACGTACGTCTATCTACTATATATTGATTATAATTCTGTTATTCTTCGATCCTGTCAGTTGTCTCCTGTTTACACGTACTTATATCTACTATGTGTTGATTATAATTCTATATTGTTCTAAATGTGAGCTAATTCTTAAAACGAGATATTGAGAACAATAACAACATTTATATATAAAAGATTATTTAACGCAATGGGGACAATAAGCACAGTTCATATCCCCCACCCACCAACCCTCCACCTCCTCCTGGCCTGCAGAGCCTAGGCACAATGAAAAACTTTAAAACAGTTCGTCATTTTATGTTAATTATCAAAACAACAGGAGCTTATAACTAACAAAGATTAGACAACTCATTTCCAACGAATAGTAATTACTTTTTCTGGAGTTCCTTGACGCGTCGAGGCACCATTCCATATGAACCATGATTAAGGAAAGTCGCACCTTTTCTCATGCAGAATTCTTTCTCTCTGATGACTTGTCCAAATTGTATACTTTCCATGCTGAAACTATCACGTTTTCACGTGTGTAATATACTTTGTCGAATGTTGTGAAAACATCAATAAAGTAAATATTTTTGTCAGATTTTTTTTCTTTACTTCATTTTCGGTTGTTGATCATACATTTGTTTTTAATTACATCAACAATATCGCAAATAAACGCATACATCTGAGAGACTTTCATGTGTAACTCTGGCGCTCTGCCTCCTTTTAATATAGATCTTTATTTGTCATTGCATTCACGGTTACAGCTCACAAAATTAACATTTACTTTTTCCGCACTCTAACCTCCTTCTCATCGTTTTCGAGAGAAAAAGATTCTGCATTCCATCGAAGAAGAACATTATCCTCATAGAATAAGAAAACAATTCATTCCAAGAACACTCTTGTTTACTTTTAATTTGTATTTCTTTATATATCTTCCCAGCAGTAAATCCAATTAATTTTCATATGCTATATATTAGTCATGCGCCAGATCAATATTATATAGTTCTTCACTACGATAAGTGGAATATATCTATAAACATTTCTATCAGTAATTCTTTAATTATCAAATACCTGCAGAAATGCACAATGTTTACATCCCATGTTATATACTGTATATTTAAACAAGTATGGTTATCTTTCAATATCAAACTATTTCAGTAGCACAGTATATATACATTACAACAAGAGGCCCATGGGCCTTAACGGTCATCTGACAAAAAGCAAGCCAAACCTAGAAAGTGGGTTGAGGTCATTCATTTGAACAAACTTGGTAGCCTCTCCTCCAAGCATCTTACAGGCCCAATATCAGCACTCATGGACTTTTGCTTGTTGAGAAGAAGTCGTTTGTATATTTTAACATATTTGACCCCTGTGACCTTGAAAGTGGGTTGAGGTCATTCATTTGAATAAACTTGGTAGCCTTTCCTCCCAGCATGCTACAGACCCAATATCGGCACTCATAGACTTTTGCTTATTGAGATGAAGTCCTTTGTATATTTTAACATATTTGACCCCTGTGACCTTGAAAGTGGGCCAAGGTCATTCATTTGAACAAACTTTGTAGGGCTCCATGCCAGCATGCTATGGGCTAAGTATTAGCCCCCTAGGCCTTCTAGTATTTGAGAAGAAGTTATTTAAAGATTTTGACATATTTGACCCCTGCGACCTTGAAAGTTGTTCAAGGTCATTCATTTAAATAAACTTGGTAGCCTTTCCTCCCAGCATGCTACAGACCCAATATCGGCACTCATAGACTTTTGCTTATTGAGATGAAGTCCTTTGTATATTTTAACATATTTGACCCCTGTGACCTTGAAAGTGGGCCAAGGTCATTCATTTGAACAAACTTTGTAGGGCTCCATGCCAGCATGCTATGGGCCAAGTATTAGCCCCCTAGGCCTTCTAGTATTTGAGAAGAAGTTATTTAAAGATTTTGACATATTTGACCCCTGTGACCTTGAAAGTTGTTCAAGGTCATTCATTTAAACAGACTTGATAGCCCTTCATCCCAGCATGCCACAGGCACAATATCAGCAATCTGAGCCTTTTGGTTATTGAGAAGAAGTTGTTTAAAGATTTTAACATATTTGACCCCTGTGACCTTTAAAGTGGGTCAAGGTCATTCATTTGAACAAACTTGGTAGAGCTCCATGCCAGTATCCTCTGTGCCATGTATTAGCCCCCTAGACCTTCTAGTATTTGAGAAGAAGTCGTTTGAATGAAAAGTTTACGGACGGCGCACGGCCGGCGCACGGCGGACGACGACGGACGAAGCATGATGACTATAGGTCATCGGACCCTTCGGGTCAGATGACCTAAAAATGTGAAATAAATCCCCTGTAGTACCACCTGGAAGTATTTCTATTATAAAAAAATGTTATTTTGTGTGTTTTTCACGTTGTCAATTCATTTCTATTGAAAAATTCATCTTTGCTTGAATTTACTTGTTCCGTATACTGTTTACATACGTATAATTCAAATGATCTTAAAGCTTTGTGGTTGTCATAAAGACACTTACTTCGACACAATGGTCGTTGTTTCTCTGTGTGATTGCCCTGGTACATTAGTGCAGCACCACGGTTGTTATCAATAGGAACACATTTATACATGGTACAACACATGTGTATATAAAATTATCTTGTCGGAAGGATAAATACGTGTAGATAAACTAACCTTGGTGGAGAGGTACAAACTAGCCACAAACGACAGAAGTCGGTCAATCAATGCACAAAGCACTACATAGCATCCATCCGGAATTAAAAATGTATATCTTGTATTACCATGTACTAGGAGGACGCTAGACTTTGACTCCTACACACACGAGTTTACACAAGATGAAGGTCGATTTCTCAATCTGTCAGTTGTTCTAATTTTAGAACCGTGAGGTAAGAAAACTTTAAACGGTCAACAATTTCCCCAACATTCGTTCTTTATCAAAACGTGGTAAACACTTTAGATTTTTTTCAGTTTTGTTATGAGAATTAAAACGGTCAACAATTTCCCCAACATTCGTTCTTTATCAAAACGTGGTAAACACTTTAGATTTTTTTCAGTTTTGTTATGAGAATTAAAACGGTCAACAATTTCCCCAACATTCGTTCTTTATCAAAACGTGGTAAACACTTTAGATTTTTTTCAGTTTTGTTATGAGAATTAAAATCAAAGACTTGACCTCCGTGCCCAGGTTTTCCGTCTCCTTGAATCGTTCTAAAAGGTCTAGGCGTTGTCTCACCCACGAACGCCAGTGTTCTGGTGAGACAAACGAAGTAGAACAATGATAACACTATAAATGAGCATAGCAAGCGTGCACAAACCATCAAGTGGCGAGATATACACCTACTTTTGATAAAATTTCCTGCATTAAGTCTCCGTTTCTTCTTCGAGCCAAACTTCAGTGTTTATTTGATGACACTAGAACCTTACAAAGTATACTGTGCCGAAACGTAATTTATTCTTAAGATTGATATAAAGAAACATGTATCATGGAGTGCATCAATCAAAAAAGTTGTGTACGTTCATATAAAGGAGGCAACTTTACCAGTTTCACTCACTTAATTAATTAATTATACATTAATGCATTAATCATATTTTTAATCATGTTTTTTCTTCCAACGTAAAGATTTCCAAGAATCAATGTAATTACTAACACACGTTTCAGTGCGTTTCCGTATATTCACCTCAGTGCAAGATTCAAACCCAAGATGAAACGAATCACTACACTAACTATCATGGAGTAACTTTTACAATATTTTTTCTGATTACAATGAGTATTTGGCTAGGTTATTTTTCGAGATTTCCCCCTCAAGTTTCAAATATTCATCGCAGTAAGTAGCGTTTGCAATGTTGGCATTTTTCAAACGTTTGCGGGCATATGAGCGGGATATCCACCGCACCGTCGAAGTCAAGCGTCCTCGGGCACAGATCTAGATTTAGAGGTCGCTACAATCGCTCAGCATAGCGTTGTTGACAAAGAAAGGAGGGAATTCGAATTTGAAAAAAGTGTTTGAAGTCATGGAAGCGACAAGAGATTGGCTAGTTTCAATGTTCAGGGAACATGTCGATATTTTTACCTCAGACACGACAGTGGCAGTAGCAACAGCAATTAGTGTAATATTAATGCTCATTCTCGTACCGTTTGGAGCCAAATTCATGGTGAAGGGGTTGTCACTTGTTATGTTTTTGGAGGGGATATTCTTCCTCCTCTTTCCGGAAGTAGGCTTCAGACTTTTCGCTGCGGTAAGATGTAAACCTAACATGCCTACTTAATTCAACCTAGTTACACAATCTAGTTTATCTCAATGTGCTGCGGTCTCGCTGACTACAAGATACAGCTTTTCCTTGAGAGTTCCATATGAAGTCGGAAGTTCGTTTCCTTAACGCTGTACTTCAGTTGTTTTTATTTATCAAAAAGACATGAACCCCTTGCATTATTTCATAACAAATGCAACCAAAATATGCAAGTGTACCCATTGATAACATTTTTGCTTTTCATGAACAGTGTTCCCGACGTCACATAAGAGGCATTCCTTGTCCAGCAGACACAAAAGCTTTTTTTTTCATTTTCAAATTTAATGAATCTTATAGAGCAGTCTTAATATTTATTTATTTCTATGAACATGTTTAATAACAAAATTACCACTAGACTATTTTAGCTTACCTGGAGAAAACACATTTGCTACCGTTTAACTTACTAATGACTTGACTGTGAATTAAACGGCTCAGGACACAAAGCAAACATGCTAATCTAGCTATTAATGTATAGTTGGTGCTGATTACGAAAAAAACAAGAATTACTGACTGGTTAATCTGTTCTTGTTGCAATAACCTTCTTAATTTAATATACATCCATGAGGTTTTTTTTTTCACTTTTCATCCAAAGTGTGTTGCATAAATTACGTCCTTCAATAAATGATAATCATAAACATGCAAGTTAAATAAAAATTTGAATTCATTTCAAATGCATACCTCTGCTTCATCACATTAAAGTGTTGAAATATAAATGAAGACATAAAATATCTTTGTATGTTTTTTTTTTTTTTTTTTTTGTTAGTGTGTGTGGGTTTTTTTTTCTCACAAGTTACATACATGTACAGATTAATTTATGGAAAACAAGTACCATTGGTTGGTACAAAATAAATGCCCTTTCCTATGTCATAATAAAAAAGAATTGTATCAGAGAGAAATTAAGATTTTCAAAAAACAAAGAAATTCTCAGCCTTTTGCATGACAAAACATGAAAAAAAGGAAATAATCTTCAAGAAAATGTCAAATATAAGTGCCTCTGAGGAAAACAGTGCTACATGAATACGCATCGGGATAAATCCAGTCAAATTTCAAAGTTTGTGGTGATCTTGTGAGAAAAAAATTGGATGTTGAAAAAAAAAAATTAAACTTTAAGGGAAATAACTTGTTTAAACAACAACTTTGTGTCATGATTAATGATTAAAGTGTATCAAGTTTAATAGGAATCGCATGAAAACTGAAAGTTGCGATCTTTGGACAAGTGTTTGATTGACAGACTAAACTCAACACCATTATTTGTCCCAACTAAACTTTTCTGTGAATATTCAAACACTGATTACAGAAACTTGATACAGTATTTCTATACCTAATGCATCTGATTTGTTTGCTTTTAGGAAAATGTAGAGCCTGATGTCCTCCATCTTCAAGAAATTCGCTCCCTTGGTATTATTGATATTGCAATTGCCATGACATTCCTCTTGACCATGAAGAGTTCAGATAGCACTGTGCATAGCAGTTACTTCTTTTCCATAACTCTGGTGTGTATGTTGATTGTAACATTAATAGATCAAATTATATTTACACCAAGAATCAGATATATGAAGAAAATTTTGGATCTTGAAAAAGAAAAAAAAATATGTGTAGGGAATTTGATTTGTTTGATAAAAGCTGCATTTTATGAAAGTAATTATTTGATAGTAAATACATATGTAAATCTGACTTACAGTTGCATCCATCACATTGCTCTAATATATAATCAGTACATAATATACATACAAACTGATCTATCAGTTACTATAATGTATTACAAAATGGTTATTGTTGTTCTAGTGCATTGGATGTTGTCTGATGGTAGAAGGTGCTGGATTGTTGAGAGGAAATGCTAAAGTCAATCAGAATGTAAGTGTTAACTAATATACAAAACTAAACATTAATTAACATACTGGTATGAGATATTGCCTGTACCCAGTAAAACATGCTAGAGCTAAATCTCAAGAAAGTTGAACATTTCACTAAAGATACCAGAGGTAAAAACTGTACAGTTTTTTATTATTCTTAATAGGTTGGTTTGGTATGCATTGTCATCCTTGATACTCCATGAGTTATAATCATTTCATTGCAAAAGTGAAAACACAAACTAAGTATCTGTTTGGTCTAGAGCTGGTTTCAGGAGAAAGGAAAAAGGATTCACAGACTGGTACGCTCCTTTGAAGATCACAAAAGCTAGTACAACATAACATTTTATGACAATGAGATTTGTTTGATGTACATCAAAGGATCAAACTATTCTCATCTTATCCACAAAGTATCACACATGGAACCTTTAATTTTTCCAGGAAATGTTCCAGGGTTGGAGAGAGTGAAGGGGATAACTCCAGGAGGATCAAGGATGATATACTGTATATGCTTTTAAAACTTGTTCAAAATCATTTTGTTCACATCTATTTATGAGAACCAATGCATGAATGGCTCAGAGACATTCATCTTAGATTTCAGGTTTACAGATATTTACGACTATTTGTTGGCTGTAACATCATTGTCAATAGATTATCTGCTATTCATGTCAAGAAACCAATGTGAATGTCAGATACTGTTTTAATTTTGCAGTCTACATCAGCACTTTAACATATGTACTTTTTTGTTAAACTTTTCATGTGTGAAATGACCATAGTGTTTCTATTGTATACATTTTACAGATGCAGAACTTGGCTGTACACAACCTTCTGATATGGTTTGGTTTGTTTGTTTTCCACTCCATTAGACAGAAGGAGTGGGGAGGTTATGTTGAAGTCTCTACTTCCTGTCGCAACACTCACCTTCGATTGGACTTCATCATCTGGTTTTTATGTGGAATCGTAGCTGTAGTCTTCCCACAAAAAATATACTCTTGTCAAGTGGTGAGTTCTTTTTCTAGGCTTTTACACAGAAATACTCAAATCAGAAATATACAATTGTGCTTTGATATTTATGTCCAAGGACCATAGACATTGCAGACTACCTTACAGATAAGTGTATGGAGTCCATACCTATGCCAGGTATGTGTTTTAAAAAATTAATGTTCCTAAGATCATTCACAGGGTCTTAATAAGAAACAAGTCAATGTATTATACAAAAAGTATAATTGCTGTTGTGCCATCATTTAGTGTACTTGATCGGTGAGATATTCAAAGATTATTGGTGCTTGATAACCACATGTGCATTCATTTGACAGGTCAATAATTCTTCATACACAATAGCAGCATATCAAATTGATAACTACCTGTAGCAAAACATAACAAGGGTACTGGGGTCCTTGGGTTATGAATGCTATACATTGTTCTAGCTACCATTTAAAATCAAAATATCAAGTAAATTCACTCTTTGCTGTAGTATACCACTATTCTGCTGAACTAATGTTCGTTATTAAGGCTTCACTTTGTCACTAACTCAATTTCTAACAGTGCATCAGCTTGGTTACAAGTGTGATTTAGAAACATGCTAATCTAAAGACCAAGATATTGGTTAAGTATAAGTTATATTTTGAAAAATGAAAATGAAAAGTTTCAGTTTCCAACAAAAAGGATTGTCAAATCAGAACATTCAAATGAAATATGTTAACAATATACATTGGAGAAAAAAAAATACTCAAAACAATAAGGCCTTCATATGATTTCACCAGGTGTTGCCAGATCCACGAGTATCTTTGTATCTTTTTGATTATATACAAGATGTAGGGGAAAATAGTCCCATTTAACATGTATGTATTTACAATTTTGTACATAACTTTCTAGGCTTCAACGTTGACTTTGGATTCTACCCATGTTCACCATGCCAGACTAATGGGTGTAGGATTCATTACACTGGCCTTCATGTCGGGCAGGGCCTCCAATTTCTTACGGGAAGACGACAAGAAAGCTGTTCTTCTTAGCCATGCATTGGTACGTGTTTTATCATAAAAATTAATACTTATTGTTACTTAATTACTGATAAAAATATCAAGAGTGAGAAATGAATTGTGGTACCAACTATTTGGTACTTTATTTTAATCTATTTCTATGCTCATTGTTATACCATTTACTAGTCGGATTCTTTTTCTTTTACCCAAATATTTGAGTCCTGGATTCATGATTTTACTAAGTAATGGAACTCGCCAAACGTTTGGAAATGTTGTTCTAGACTAGTTTGAAAAAACAACCTTACAAAAATTACAGACTTGTGCAGTATCAATAACATATTAAAACATGAATGTCAATATATTATGAAAATCATACTAAAGTCATTACCAAACATAGCTTTGTTTTCTTTTTAAAATTTGTGTAATTGAATTTCCAAGTTTTATAAGCCTCAAGATTAAATTAAAATTGTACATATTACTTTTGTAATCCAACATTATAACTAAGTTTTATATATAACAGGCATGTGTCCTACTGTTGATCACCATGGGTTTGAACCAAATCCTCACCACTTCCTTCACAATATGGCATGTAGCCTTTGGAATGACCACAGTGTTCCTAACACTGGCCAATGCTCTTCTAGGATCTGACCCAAAGCAGTTGGCAAAAACTGCCAGACAACAGCTGGGAAAGCTTGTACCAGTGAAACAAGAGTGAAGGTGTTTTTTGTAAACTACGTACTATACAACCATGGCAGCAATACTGACATTATATTGACTTGGCAGCAGCATTTGTATCATTGACTTTTCAGCATAGGCTCATTGATTTTATAACTTACTTGTAACGGTATATGTATACCTATATGTGTAATTATATATGGTACCAGTCAAAGTGCAACTGCATTTCTATAATGAATTTGTAGTTTAAAGAAAGTAGAATTTCTCAGGAAAACCTTGTATCTGAAGTTGTTTTTGAGCGGGCCATGTCATGAAATATAAGTTATATTAGCATAATAAAGAAATGTTTTTGTAAACTGCAGATAAAGACATGGTGTTATCTTGTATTGTCTGACTCACTTACTGGTCATTAATGCTGTACACTATACAATTATGATATGACTAAACAAAAAATTGAAAAAGAAATTAACAAACAATATTTAGACTTTGTAGGGTTACTTGGTGAAGATAAGCATATTCACTAGATTTTCTTGATATGTGCTACCTGATGAGTTATTTAAAATGTAGCTGAATTGAAAATTATGATGAAAGAAACTCTGTATGACCATGATTATAAAAAATGTTGAGTAAATTACTATTAAAACTGAAGAATTTACCAATTGAAAAGAAGAAAAAACAATTTAGATTAAGGCAGAGAAATGGAAGATTGTGTGTGATTCCTAGTCAGAGTGCAGATAATAACCACGCAACATAATTCCTTTGTTTTCTTAACAAGGCACCGACTATTTCAAATCACTGTAAGATTAATTTGACTTTTGAAATTCGTCAGAACTGAATGACAGAAATTTTCGGTTTCCCTATTGTCATTTTGATTCAGTTCTATAAAGTCGAGTTAGTTCATACAGTTATAAACATTTCACAGGCTATGTTCTTGGTCAAGTTCATTGGATAATTCTTATTGCCATTTTTTTAAAAAACTTTTTTCTAAATAATCAATTTTACTGAATTTATGCCATCTTTTACTGGTTTATTTCCTTGAAATTTATAAATAGGAAGATGTACAAATGTTTATATAGATAAGCTATGATCTTGTGTATTTGATTGTTAAGTTATTAGTAAAAGGTGACAAGGATAAATTCATTTAAAGCAATTGCCTGTGTTAATTGAAGATGTCATGTCCCTGCCATAAAGGAATATAGAGATCAGTCAATCTTTTGTGTATCAAAATATTGTAATGTATGCCTGTTACTTAGTCAATATTTATGTTAAATGAATATTACTATATACGCAACAGTTTTGCTTCATAGTATTAATATATATGCCAACTGTTTATGCTGCATGCATGTCAATTATGTAAACAGCTTTGCTGCATGTATGTTAATTGTATTTACAACTACAGGTGTAAAAAAACAAAATTTGCTATGTCTTTATATTATTTTATTATATACAAAGTATATAATGGTGTGAATACTTCCAACATTTTTATACTCAAGTAAGGTAGATAATAACTACCTTTGACACAGTAGAATTTTACACATACTGGTTTACATGTGTGTTGCAATTAAATGGCCGTGCTTTGAGAGTTTCATAGGTTTATATTTCGTATGACTTGTTTGTAGTGTGTATTAGAATATTTTTTTACCTGTCTGTACATCATGGCTGTAGATTTAGTCATTAATATTATCATGCCTTAATCTGATGTCTAAATATTTTTAAGTGCACTAAATGTATTGGTAGATTTAGATACTAATAAAATATACATTTCATATGGTTAGCTGTTTGTTTCGATTTTGCTATAGGAATTTCAGACACATTGTCTGAAAACTAATTATGATGTTATATTCATGGCTGTTAAGTATGTAGTTATTAAAAAGTAAGGGAGTTTATGTTCCTGTCATTTTCAGTCAGCAGAAACTACATACACATTGTACTTAACATCAATCTGTAAGTATGACTATCCATTAATGGAACAGGCTCCTTTCAAATCTGGCTAAAATGTCTACGATGTGTAAAATAAGAACTTTCTTCAATGATGTTTCAATATTTTTTGACATTTTTTTGTGTCTTCATATTTTCAATGAATTGTGTAAATGTAAGTTTTTTAATTATTTTGTCCTTGTCGTGATGAATCATGCTACCAGTACAACATTTCCACAATCAAAAAATGGATTTACAATAATAGCAGGACCGATGGTTTCTATGTCTGTGTATTGGCTTTTTAGAATTTTATTGAGTCTTGACCATATATTGGTAGGGCATGGATATTTTAATTTTAGAACTCTATCTGTGTAATTGATATGATGAGCGAGCAGTGCTTCACTCATTCAAAAACTTTTACTAAATATACTTAAAACTCTTTTCAATAGTGATACCATTACATTACATACTCCGTGGACAAACTCAACAAGCAGATTCCGTGTATTATTCCATATGTTCAACCTTAACAATAATTGAAAACTTTACATGGAATTCCCAAATAACATATCAAACAAAGCCAATTGGTGATGGGACACGCAAAATAGTTTGCCTATTATGTTGCACGTGATGGTACCCTTCATTCCTTACTTTGTCCCATCCCAAGAACAAGCAGAAATAGGAACAATTTGCAATTTTACACGGCCAACAGTGGCGACCTCATGATTCCAACAGCATCACTCGATTCATTGTCTGTATGACAGAAATGCTTTAGGATCTGGAATTTCCAACACTACAATCCAGAAAAACAGCACAACACCTCGTATTCATGTACAAAGTGGTTGAGGAGTTGGAACCAGTGTACCTTCATCGGTCTTTTTACAAAAATCTAGACCTAAAAGTCATCAAGACATCAAGGCATTTAGGTAGTTATATAACCAAAAATACTGTAGACACATATGCTACCAACAATAACAAACCATTCCAAGTACAGATTGCCACCACTCTAAAACACAAGAACTGTTTTTTATAAGAACTGTGGTAGACTGGTCCCACATGGAGAATAAAATTGTGTTCGCCAACAATCGAGGGGTTTAAGTCATCCCCCAACAAGCACTACCGATTAAGGCACTAAACACTCTCTCTCTCTCCTGTCACTGAAAAAACCAGGCTTCGGGATCTGCGACGTACATATACAGACTACAGGCCGATATATTGATTCCAGACAGATTTAAAAAGGACGATAGACTGTTAAAATAGTTCAGACTAGGACACAACCATGGTAACACAGACCATTTCTCCTGATGGAAGGAAACCGCAACAAATAGATGAGAAGGAAATAAGACGAATAAAAAACCCAAAACAATAATTCATTTTATGACTGCCGTGGTGGAAAATATATATATTGGCTCCTAGCTTGTAGTAAAACCTCGAATATTTGAATCATCAAAAATACAATCTTTACAGTATGCCGAAACATGAATTAAATGACATTTTACCAATGTGTTACACCCTATATCAACGTCACTAATATCACGCCTCTGTCCACATCTATCAATTCCTATCGCCTTTACTATCACACCTCTGACAAAAACTATCGGGCCCTATCACCTTTAATATCACGCATCTGTCCACAACTATCAATTCATATCGCCTTTAATATCACGCCTCTGACAAAAACTATCGGGCCCTATCACCTTTAATATCACGCATGTCCACAACTATCAATTCCTATCGCCTTTAATATCACGCTTCTGTCCACAACTATCCATTCCTATCGCTTTTACTATCACGCCTCTGTCCATAACTATCAATTCCTATCGCTTTTAATATCACGCCTCTGACAAAAACTATCGGGCCCTATCACCTTTAATATCACGCATCTGTCCACAACTATCAATTCATTTCGCCTTTAATATCACGCCTCTGACAAAAACTATCAAGCCCTATCGCCTTAAATATCACGCCTCTGTCCACAACTATCAATTACTGTCGCCTTTAATATCACGCCTCTGTCCACAACTATCAATTCATATCGCCTTTGATATCATCCCTCTGACAAAAACTATCAAGCCCTTTCGCCTTTAATATCACGCCTCTATCCACAACTATCAATTCATTTCGCCTTTAATATCACGCCTCTGTCCACAACTATCAATTACTGTCGCCTTTAATATCACGCCTCTGTTCATAACTATCAAATCCTATCGCCTTTGATATCACGCCTCTGACAAATACTATCGGGCCCCATCGCCTTTAATATCACGCCTCTATCCACAACTATCAAATCCTATCGCCTTTGATATCACGCCTCTGACAAAAACTATCGGGCCCTATCGCCTTTAAAATCACGCCTCTGACAAAAACTATCGGGCCCTATCGCCTTTAAAATCACGCCTCTGTCCACAACTATCAAATCCTATCGCCTTTAATATCACGCCTCTGACAAAAACTATCAAGCCCTATCGCCTTTGATATCACCCCTCTGACAAAAACTATCAAGCCCTTTCGCCTTTAATATCACGCCTATGTCCACAACTATTAATTCCTTTCGCCTTTAATATCACGCCTCTATTCACAACTATCAATTACTGTCGCCTTTGAAATCACGCCTCTGTCCACAACTATCAAATCCTTTCGCCTTTAATATCACGCCTCTGACAAAAACTATCAAGCCCTATCGCCTTTGATATCACCCCTCTGACAAAAACTATCAAGCCCTTTCGCCTTTAATATCACGCCTCTGACAAAAACTATTGGGCCCTATCGCCTTTAATATCACGCCTCTATCCACAACTATCAAATCCTATCGCCTTTGATATCACGCCTCTGTCCAAAACTATCAATTCATATCGCCTTTAATGTCACGCCTCTGTCCACAACTATCAATTCATATCTCCTTTAATATCACGCCTCTGACAAAAACTATCAAATCCTATCGCCTTTGATATCACGCCTCTGACAAAAACTTTCAAGCCCTATCGCCTTTAATATCACGCCTCTGTCCACAACTATCAAATCCTATCGCCTTTAATATCACGCCTCTGTCCACAACTATCAATTCCTTTCGCCTTTAATATCACGCCTCTATCCACAACTATCAATTACTGTCGCCTTTAATATCACGCCTCTGTCCACAACTATCAAATCCTATCGCCTTTGATATCACGCCTCTGACAAAAACTATCAAGCCCTATCGCCTTTAATATCACGCCTCTGTCCACATCTATCAATTCCTATCGCCTTTACTATCACACCTCTGTCCACAACTATCAATTCATATCGCCTTTAATATCACGCCTCTGACAAAAACTATCGGGCCCTATCACCTTTAATATCACGCATCTGTCCACAACTATCAATTCCTATCGCCTTTAATATCACGCTTCTGTCCACAACTATCCATTCCTATCGCTTTTACTATCACGCCTCTGTCCACAACTATCAATTCCTATCGCTTTTAATATCACGCCTCTGACAAAAACTATCGGGCCCTATCGCCTTAAATATCACGCCTCTGTCCACAACTATCAATTACTGTCGCCTTTAATATCACGCCTCTGTCCACAACTATCAATTCATATCGCCTTTGATATCACCCCTCTGACAAAAACTATCAAGCCCTTTCGCCTTTAATATCACGCCTCTGTCCACAACTATCAATTCATTTCGCCTTTAATATCACGCCTCTGTCCAAAACTATCAATTCATATCGCCTTTAATGTCACGCCTCTGTCCACAACTATCAATTCATATCTCCTTTAATATCACGCCTCTGACAAAAACTATCAAATCCTATCGCCTTTGATATCACGCCTCTGACAAAAACTATCAAGCCCTATCGCCTTTAATATCACGCCTCTGTCCACAACTATCAAATCCTATCGCCTTTAATATCACGCCTCCGACAAAAACTATCAAGCCCTTTCGCCTTTAATATCACGCCTCTGTCCACAACTATCAATTCCTTTCGCCTTTAATATCACGCCTCTATCCACAACTATCAATTACTGTCGCCTTTAATATCACGCCTCTGTCCACAACTATCAATTACTGTCGCCTTTAATATCACGCCTCTGTCCACAACTATCAAATCCTATCGCCTTTGATATCACGCCTCTGACAAAAACTATCAAGCCCTATCGCCTTTAATATCACGCCTCTGTCCACAACTATCAATTCATATCGCCTTTGATATCACCCCTCTGACAAAAACTATCAAGCCCTTTCGCCTTTAATATCGCGCCTCTGTCCACAACTATCAATTCCTTTCGCCTTTAATATCACGCCTCTATCCACAACTATCAATTCATATCGCTTTTGACATCACGCCTATGTCAAAAATTATCAATTCCTATCGCCTTTGATATCACGCCTCTGTCAAAAACTATGAATTCCTGTCACCTTTCGTATGACTCCCCTTTGCTTGAGAATAATCATGACAAGCAATAATCGTGTAAAAATATAATAATACTCACAGCAATCAGTTTGTGAAAAGAAGATAATCTATTTTTGGTGTTAATCACGTCTACTTATATATGCTCTCGTTAATAGACCATAACCAGTCAATGTGTTATATTATAATTTCGAACAAATAATACTCGAAACAAAACCTGATCAATGTTAGGTAACTAAGGGTAAGTGATACTATAATGGCCCAGATTTGGAACTAAACAGTAGTAATGTGACCTTTGAACTGAACTAATGTCTGAATGGGGTACTACCTGGACTTATAAATAGACGCAATATAGGAATAATATTTACATAAGACATTGTGATACTCACTAGGAGATTAACACATAGTGAATATTGCACTGCGATGTACATATTAAGGCTACAGATTACAAGTAGTAATCAACACGTGCTGTAAAGACGTTGGCGTATCCTCTAAAGCAGTAAGTATGAACTAATGTTCCCCTGTACTACTGTCTCTGTGTGTCTCCTTGTCCATAAATGTTACTGTGGAAGAAGAATCGATCTTTGGCCCGTCACACTGATAGTCGTCAGTGACAATCTTGCAGTCTATGCTGGGTCTAAACTCACTTATTTGTAATTCGTGCACTTTGAGATACATATATACCGGGTACATTTGTCTTGCAAAGTCTTGTGGTGTCTTACCAAAAGGTCAGTCTTTCGAAGTAAAATGATGGAAAATGATTCTGTTTGTTTTGAAGTTATTTTGATCGCTTGTATCCAGGTGGTACACATGTCCATGGATATTCCATAAAGGTAAAATTAGATTGCGGCTCAGTTTTGTTTTATCAATTTTCATTGTTTCATACTCAACGAACTTTCCACATTAAACAATGTTCCAACAGATATATATATATATATATATTATCTGAGTATCTCTTCAAAACATTTATTCACATAACTTGTTGCAGATAATTATAATAAAGAGTCGTATTTTTGTTTATAATCAAAGCTAGTGGCATGTTTGGATTTGTATTTGGAGGTTTTTCGTGTTTATTTACATAGATATATATTATACAGTATTGGACGAATATTTCATAATCGCTGTTTTATGTTTCCTTAAAGTTTTACCATAACTACATATCTGACCAAATATCTATGAATGCAAGCATATGAAGTTACTGTGAAAGCATTAATTTTCGTGTTTGTTTGTTTTTTTTAATTTTCGTTCATTTCGTGGGTACTAACGGATTCACGAACTGATGAAATATCATATGTATAATATTCTATATAATATCATTATGTTCATTATGTGCCTCAATTGGTTAAATGAATCTTGAACTCTTAGAATGAGACGAACAGAAAAACAATATGTTGATGAAAGGTATATATTTGTGTATCGCGAAACAAATTATTCCGTGCACGTCTAAACGTGTGTATGCATGTGCTTGTCAATGTATATCCGTACGTGGGTTTTTGTGTAAGTACGTGCAAATACGTGTTTCTTGTTGTCATATCTTCTCTCTATTTCTGTAACTCTCCATCATTGGAGGAAATACATATATAAAATGTAATAACAAAAATGTCAAAACGTAGAGCCATTTTATACTACCGCTGTCCTTATCAAGACGCTGTTTAATTAAATGTTAAAGCGGAACACATTTGTGTTGGGGAACAGTTATTTGACATAGACGAGGCTGGAATACTTATATTATACATTTAAATCGAATATCCTGCCATCAAATTTAAGGTCGTTGGGACTAAAACCTTTTTTTTCATTAATGGAATCAGATCATTTAGGGAAAGATGAATTTTCTCCAAAACTTTTCCATTCATTCTGTTGCTTGAAGTAGATTTACCAAAAAACAGTAGTTATCATTGCAATTGATATCCACAGAACACATCAGTTTACAAATTGTTCTTCATCAGTTTGGCAGTCTATAGTTCAGGACATTTTTATTATTTTTCTGAAACGGCTGCTTGGTTTTGCTCTTAAGACGACAGTAGTTAATTTGTTGCACTGACGTCGAAATTCAATTAATATATTTATCTTTTCTACTGTTGGAGCATTTGCGTTTAACACGCGTGTATATATGTTTACACCATTACGTAAAATATTGATCCAAATACGCAACAGTCTGGGAAACGCAGTACGGTGTGTTGTTGCGGATGCATAGCTAAATGTCGACATTATTGTCCTCTCAATTCTCTGACATAAAACAAAATATATGGTGATGTTCGAGATTAAAAATCGTTTAATTTGATAATTTTCTTAATAAATCACATATAGGTACTTTCTATAACGTAACACATTTTAAAACGGGAAATATATTTCTTTATGCATATGTTAGCTGTGAGATATCAAGTTATCCATGCATTTTACCTTTAGATACCTCATTCACTAAGGGAGATAATCGGAAGTGTACAACTGAAATGCCTGAAAGAAGACATTGTTTTAACAATTGTACATCTTAGTGACGGTGAAATAGGTCATCATACCAGATTTGTCTTTATTTACCGGTTGTCCTGTAGTACTGTGTACCATCTCTAAACCTGGGACTGACAGATCGTACCACACGGAACATTGGTAGGTAGAAAGATCTATATACCACAGTTATCTCTCTTCCACTATCACTTAATCAACTCCTAGTCTTTATAGAGTTTTAACCTCAGCATCTATTATTTTCTTCTATTTATTATTATTATTATTATTTTTGGGGAAAAACAGGTATATATGACATAATATACGTTTTTCAGGTAACACAAAATATAGTTTCTATGGAAACCTGGGTTATGAAAGTATGCTTTTATTGTATATTTTTTGTATAATCCAAAAATTATCAACATGCGTCAAGGTACATCAACAATATTTTTGTCTTTTATTTTAATATTAGTTCTTTAACTTTCTGTTTGCAGAATAATGAAAGCCTTCCAAAGTGGTTATTCTTGATATCAAATATCTTAATAAGTCTATTATTCTAAACATACGGATTTTTTCCAAGTGGTATTCCCCTTTTAATGTTATTCGTTCATCTAATACCAGGCCCTAGTTTCACGAATCTTCCTTAACTAAAGAAAATGTTAACCACCATAGAACACACATTACGTATGTTAAGGAAAACCTTTAATCTAAGAACATTTCCTTAACGTAAGTAATGCTTTTCCGAGGGGAATTTTAAGTTAAGGGAGATTAATGAAACTGGGTCATGTCTCTCTTTTTAAATAATTTAATTACATAGGTTCTCGAGCGTATAATACCATGTATCTCTTTTTTTCAAAGAATTAAGTGATATAAGTTGTCTCCTTGTACATTTGTTTGATTCGCCGTTAGAAAACATGGGATGGCCTGGAAAAATATAAAGGCGTTCAACTGTTGTTATTCTGTTAACTGTAGAATCTTCAATATCCTGAATCTGATACCTCTAATATTGTCCGACCTTCAGCTCAATATCAGCATAATTTTTCACTATTACTTTTTTCTGTTCCATCATCCCCCTCATCCTTATACTCACTTAATATTGCTCTCGGTTACATTTTTTTCATGCTAACACCGAATTAGATAAACATTGAAATATATACTTATTTTTCAAACGAAAGGTTTTCATGAAAAATGTATTATACTTAATGTTTAATTTCATTCAATCTATTGACAGATACAACCAGCTATTTAATTAGCACGTGCATATTATTAATTAACCTTCTGATGCCCCTTAATTCTTATGATTTGGTGCATTTTGTCAATACTGTTTTGTCTGTTTATGGATCATGTTATTTTCTATTTTTCATGGTCCACTTAAGAAAGAAATGGAGAAGGAAAGAGACGACACGTTTTGTACGCCTGCTAAACACAGCAGGCAAACAAAGACAGATATTCACCAACAAGAAATTTCCACATTTGTGTTTGTTGGACTGACTGGCAGCGCTCTTCTTCCTTTAAATCCAAGTATCCTTGAGATCAGTTTGCTGGCCATCGAGCGTTCAGACATCCTTCTCTTGGCCGGACAGGGGCTCCCTCGGGCTCTAAACAGGTTGACTATGACCTTCAAACCCCACAGATCACCAATACCTATCCGCGTCATGGAAAATACAGGTACTTTATATCTGAAATTGTAAAAGTATGGAAAGTCGTTAAACACTTTTTGACCATTATTAATTCAAAGCAATATAATGTAATAACACTAAAAAGGACAAAATGAGAAAAAAGGGAAAAACGGGAATATTGACAATGCAACGTACTTCATTTATTCATTGCGCCCCCAAAATAGGGAAAAACAACTCGTACAAATGTGGTATATCATTCCTTTACATATCTCTTGAAAGGCTTACGTCTGTAAAATTAGAGGTAATAAGGTGTGTTCAGACCTTCCGATGGAATATCATTCTGTCAAGATTGACCAGTTCAAGCATTTCAAAAAGTATGACTGACGTAAGGAAACCTTTTCTTACCTTTGACTAAGAAGTGCGACAGAAATATATTTCACACTCTAAGGTTTTAGATTCATCACTGACAAGTCCTAGAATTTGTCTCTAACTAATTTTAACTTTGTATTGTAAGATGCCATTCAATTGTATGTCTTTTAAACAATCGTGGATTAAATACCTTCATCACACAAACTTTATTAAAATATAACAACAATGGGTTTTACAAAGTCTTCATTGTTGATATGCTGCTGAAACATTTCCAAGTTTCTAACTTCCGTTGTATATCGTATCCCCGAAACGTAAATCTTGCGTCATTTTCTGTGTTACAGATCTTCTGGACAGTTCTGTTGAGAGCAGTCACGCTATAAATGACGAAGATTTTACTATAATCAACAACTTTATAGAACGACTTCCCAAACCAGTTTGTCTGGTGTCGTATACAGCAGAGATATACGATTATAAAGTCATTCGAAAAGAACTGAACAGGTTAGATAGAAACATCAACAACTCCGGGCTACTTTGTACAAGCCTTCGTAAAGCTGTTCGTCAATTTCGACCAAACCTCGAATCATATGAATTGAACAATGTTTACAGAGTGGTCTGCAAACGAAAAAGTGAGATCACAGAAGAATCGGCGGAAAATGTTGTGCGCATGCTCACAGAGATAGTCTCCTGTATACCTGGGACAATAGGATGGATAGACAGAAACTTTGAACTGTTTTAAGGATGTTTGGTGTATTACCAATGTGAATAAACCAAAACCGTCATTTACCGGCTTGTTTAATTGCATGGTCTAGCTATTGTTGGTTCCCTAACAACCTTTCAGAACGAATTTAAGGCCTACAACTGGCCGCGTTCTGGAAATATAAACTTCATAGACGACACAGTTGTTTCATGTCACGTTCTCTAAAAGTAATCTATGGGTGTGACAGTACTGAACAAGTCGACCTTCATTTTACAAATTGTAATATACTGCTGTTGGAGATCTTGAATAGACAGATAAACATGTACTTATTTACAAATTCATGTCAGTAATTAATTGATATTTTGATATGTAGGAAACTCCACCCATTTCTGCCTAAGGTCTCTGTACCGATGTATATAGATATATATATAATGCTATTGAGAGTATAGGTACCCCACATCGAAACTTTATCGCGTTTTCATACAATAGATAACTTGCTATCAACATTTCGTGACGTCATATTTTTTTGTTGAGTGTCATAGTTCATTATGGAAGTCCTCCAAATTGTTATATATTTGCAATGTCCTATAAATGAAATTATCACATTTTACCATGAATTCAGTAGCAACAAATACAGCTTATGTAAAATATTTAGCAAAGCTTGCTCGTACAGCTGTTTCCAGTTTGTTTATAACAACGAAGTACGGAAACCCATAGGGAAAGTTATAGAATTTAGAATGTACAAGAAGTCGTAAATAATAGTAGATTGATATTTTTGTGAGATTTTTGAGAGAATACATTAGAATATTAAAGTCGTTTTGAATTGAAGAAAGATAAAAGTGCTATAATTGTGTATAAATGGAACATAATTTCACGATTGTCTGTCAAACATCCACTGAACACACATCCTATCACTGACGTATACTAATGTTAAACCCATTCAACATTAAGTTTTAGAATAACTCTTAATACTTGTATAATCGATTTAAATTATGTACACTATATATATATGTATATGGCTTTGGTCGGATTTAATCATGTCTTCATGCTAAGAGTATACCACATAATTTAAGAAGTATTTATTCTAACACACACTTTAGAACTCACTATTAATGACGATCGTGAAGACTTGTATGTATAGTAACGGTTATGTAATTCCTTATCTTACACTGAATGATCAATAGGACTTTAATACAGAAATGATTTCTTTCAGTCTGTTGGCATAACTACTAACACTATATACCAAGATACAAACTCACGAAATAACATAAACGTGATATTAACATTAGCGTATATCACCATAACACGATACATCGACACGTAATATCATTTTGTACATGTAGTATTGGAGGAGTGTATCAAATATGTTTACTTATATTTGAAATACCTACATACTTATATTTGAAATACCTACATACTTATATTTGAAATACCTTCATACTTATATTTGAAATACCTGCATACTTATATTTGAAATACCTACATACGGAATTCAATGGACACAATCAGTTAATATGATATTCTGTTAAAAGTGTTTTTCAAAGAAATATTATTTTAGGGACAACACATTTTCATTCAGACTGATTTTTCAAACCCTTTCAAACAATTTATTTCATACCTAGTAGGAATTATCGAAGTTTTTATCGAATTAAGATTATTGTTATTTAAATAGTTTGTCTGTTAGCACTATGAGTACTATGTTTGAATTATCCAGAGTTCTTGTCCTTTCCGATGCTACGATTTTACCATATAAAACACTAATGACGGATACTAAATCCGATTTAAACGTAAAGCGTAAATTAGTCAAATTAGACAATGAAATATCTATAATGAAAAATTGAGTTATACGTTGTAAACAAAACAACAAATGGACGCACTTTCGTGCGAATGAACACCTGACATTTAATTTTGAATTTGTTGATCATTTGAAATAAACAATTAACACAAACTGTGTCTGTATGTTATACTTCCTAGATATACAAAACCATGTAACTGGTGTATGTTATAACTTCCTTGATACTTGATAAAGTTTAAAGCATGTCAGGTTAGTAAGCCTATTGCTTATAGTGGTCAGATACCTTTATATTCAATATATTGGTCTAAAATGATTCCTGTATATACATGTTTTATTCAGACTGGTTCAGTTATTTTCATTTGATAAGTCTAAAATGTAATACTTTTTACTATATATATATATATTCAATTTCATGTTTTTGAAATGTTCATTTGTATAAACGTGGTTTTGGTACAAATGTCTTGTTTTATACATAGGTTTGATGAAAACCTGTTTACGAAGTATTACGTGTTGTTACAGTAAAATATCACGCCATGGATACAGGTATGTTTGCTATTTAGCGTCAAACGCGTGATGATATATCGCATTGGTGTCCTCTGGCTATGACCACTGGTAACTTCCGCGCACTTTGTATTACAAGTGATGTAATTTGACCAATTATGGCGCGAGAGCGTGATGTGATATATTTCATAATGTCCACCCAACTGAGTGGCTAGTGCGGGTTGTGCACCACATCCGGGTTCTGGCATATAAATAGGAGCTATTTTTTCGCCCGTAAAAACTAATAAAAGAATCCAAGCTACGGAACAAAGGTGAGTTTTTGCTATAAAAATAACATCATTTATTAGTGTCATTTTAACATTGTTTAAATGATTTTTAAATTTCGAACACCTAACCAGCTGTCTTGAAATTATGAAATGCTCGGAATTATCCAATACTAATATAGACGGAAAACCCATTATTCGATATTCATGTCACACATTTTCTAAATAAACTGAATTTGTGAGTATATCAAGCGTATTCCCTAACAGATTAAATAATCACAATAGCTAATTTCGTTTTCGATAATTTGGAAAGTCAGAAAATTGAGATTTTCAGTTTGAATTTACAATACAATATCTATGCGAACCTTGATCTAAATGAAGATATCTATTTGCTAATGTTTCAGATGAAAACTGTAATAGTTGCCGTTGCGGTGGTCGTATGTTGTGTGGTGGCGGCCAGAGGCGAGGCCTATGGTAACTATGGGGGAGGGCTGGGACTTGATTACAAAGGCAGTCAGTACCTACAAAAGGGACATATCAGTCAGTACAGTGCGGGAGGATATGCCAAGGGATACTCAACATATCCAACGCATTCTGGATACTCCGGATACGGGAAAAAACCTGTGGTTAAGAAGGAGGTTGTAGTGAGCGCACCTTACTCTGTTCCAATGTTTATCCCCCCTCTTCCAGTGGCAGATACCAGTGACTCCATTTTCGGCGGTGGAACATTTCAACGTAAGCATTCTTACTGCCGAGCATATTGACAGATTTCTGTACTTCCGTTCTTGATATTGAATATAAGTAATTTGATTATAATGCCAATTATATTTATGACGATGATATTCACAAAATTACTGTATATACGTATATGCTTCTGAAAAAAATGATACTTTTTGAAACAAGATTATCAAGATAATGTGGATGGTTGTGTTAAATAACTCCGAAACTGGAAAAAATACTGAACATTTTTTTGGTTACTTCACAAGCTGTTATATATATAGACTTTCCAATTGTTTTTCAGTGTTTCTCTTATTCCTGGTCATCCAGCTTTTGAATAACAACTCTGGTTAAATAGACTCACCTGTCACAGTAAGTTTACTATTCGTATTAATGCTTTACTATTAATCGATAATCATAGGTTAAAGAATTGTTCTCAAACAAAAACGCAAATATTTGTCAATATTATCTTTAATACGTTTGATGGTAAACATAATGGGATGCTTGCATTTATACTATGAATAAATTTTCATTCGCTATATTTCTAAAGACATTTTAGTTTACGAAAACCAGCTGATTCTTCAATTAAGTATTTAACATTCACTATCAAATACATTACGACCAGTTAGCGTCAAAAAATATATAATTTTAGACTTATACATCATTATGGGGTAGGCGTATATTTATTTATATATATATGTAAATATCATTGTGTCTCTATTTCAGAAATCTCATTCTTCGTCAAGGATGGAGCTGTATTCATGGGGTATTTTTATTTTGTTTGCTGTTTCGATAAGAAATAAATGTTATGTAAAATTGAAAGTTTATGCTTACTGTTTTCATTTCAACAATTGTTATCGACAAAGACGTTATCTGCTAATGGATTGAATAACAGTCAATCCATACATCACAAATCCTTTTCATTCAGTGAACAGACCACTTCATCAAACGATTAGCGCGATAGTTGTTTATTTATTTATTTTTTTTGTTTTTTTTTTTTTTGCTTTTTTTGTTTCCATATTAAATAAAACTCATCACTTAGCAACTACCATACATATATTTTTTTTGTTTGCGGTTTGTTTAAGAAAGTGCTGATATGTACATCTAATGTGGGAAGTGGTTTATAATCGTTTTCAATAATAAACAATACCATACTCGGATATTCTTGTTCGCAGTATTAACTTCCTGCTGATACCATTTGATGTATATTCTTTCTACGTGACCGTTACGACAGACTCTGTGGGAAGGGAATATTGACATGTTCTACCTAAATGTTTCTGAATCTTTTCTTAAATAGATGGAATCTTTACTGAACCTATTTCCTATTTCTTGACATAAATTAACGAAAATCTAATGAGTCAAATAAGAACAGAACGACAATCATGTACAAGTAAAACAAATAAAAGTTAATTTACAGCAGAGCTAAGCAATGAAGTAAACTGCACGATGCAGCTTTTTCTTCCTTCTAGGACTCGTCATTGGTGCTAAAGACCTTAATTTTGAAGCCTAGGGGACGACTAAGGAAAATGTAAAGGGATCGGAAGTGCACTAGCCCCATAATTGAATATCATTATTTTCAAATATATCAGATGATTTTAGAACAATGTCAAGTACATGTATATATTCTGAATCGTGTCTCTATTCAGATTAATTAAGATATGGCTTGCAGCATCATTTGAACACAAGTTCCACAAGAATTAAAAGAAAGATAACATTGAAACAAAGCAGTGAATTGTGGGTTATATTATTATCATTTAGTGGGA